CACATATTAATAATGATAAATGATATAAAAATAATATATATATTTGTTAATAATTTATATTAAAATATAATATAAATAAATAATTGAAGAAAAACTAAAAAAAAGTTTAACTAATAATTTAAATAAAAACAATGAAAACAATAAAAAAACAAAAAAGCAAAAAAGAAAATGATTATAATAGGCTTGAGGGTGCTGTTAGCCTTTCCCAATAATGGATGCTTAAACTAACATTTGTTATTAGGAAAAATTGCATCAAAATGGAACCAACTTTCACATGATTTTTATTTTGGGGAACGAACTTTCAAAATCGTCATTTTGGGGAACCAACTTTCACCTGATTCCTATTTTGGGAAACCAACTTTCAAAATCGTCATTTTGGGGAACCAACTTTCACCTGATTCCTATTTTGGGGAACCAACTTTCAAAATCGTCATTTTGGGGAACCAACTTGCACCTAATTCCTATTTTGGGGAACYAACTTGCAAAATAATTATAGAAAAATGGGAAAATTACACCAAAATGGAACCAACTTTCATAAGATTCATATTTTGGGGAACCAACTTTTAAAATCGTCATTTAGGGGTCTCTATCGAACTTTTTGTTTATTTAAGGGTCTGATTGATCTGTTGAACAGGTAACAAATAATTTAAGGGTCTCTATCAAACTTTTGGTTGAATTTGCCAAATTTGATTTAAACTTTAATATTGACACAGATTGGTTAGATATAAAAATCTTGAATGTGATATTTAATATTTATTTTTTATTGCATCAATTAATTTTTTCTATTAAATTGATTTTTTTATTGCATTAGTAAAAAACAATTTTTATCGTGGTAATTTGGATTTTTTTCGAAAAATCTTCAATTTGATATCTGAATTTAAAAAAACGAGATTTGAAATGGAAAATAGATTTTATTGCATTAATTTTTGAAAAGAAATGAATTTTAGTTATTTTTCTATAATTATTTTACAAGTTGGTTTCCCAAAATAGAAATCATATGCAAGTTGGTTCCCCAAAATGAAGATTTTGAAAGTTGGTTCCCCAAAATAGGAATCAGGTCCAAGTTGGTTCCCCAAAATGACGATTTTGAAAGTTGGTTCCCAAAATAGGAATCAGGTGAAAGCTGGTTCCCCAAAATAAAAATCAAGTGAAAGTTGGTTCCCCAAAATGACGATTTTGAAAGTTGGTTACCCAAAATAGGAATCAGGTGAAAGTTGGTTCCATTTTGGTGTAATTTTCTCTTTGTTATTATAAGTATTGTATCATTTGCATTTAATTTGAACAAACTTTTTATTGATTGGTTGGTTTTGATTTCAACCATGATTATAGATTTCAAAGCTGCATCACACTTTTATATATTCATCATCTTCTTCCAAACTATCATTTTTCCATCAACGTAAGATAATTAAAATCAACCTTATTTCATATTTGAAGAACACTCAAATCTCATGTTCTCAAGTCATCATTCTTGGTTTCACTTTTATTTTTGCACTATAATTTTTACAATTTGATTGGTTTTAATTTCAACCATGGTTACAAATTTTAAAGAATATCGTCCAAAAAATTTCATGATTTAACACAAAGATATTTAATCTGTCTATTTTATACACTTCATTTTGTTTAAGTCCGGTTAAGTAACATTTACCATTTGGTGGACACCTCTACAGCATAAAACATGATGTCAACCTATGGCTGCTGTCCCCTCCGCCGCATCTATGTCCTCTTATTACCACAACTTCCAAAACCTTCAATGACCACAACGGTTATGGCCTTCTCCCTCTCCTCACCAAAACTAAACTTCTGTAACCAAACCCCAGCAACACTTGTACATTTTAAATCATCCAATCGAAAATACGCAGCCTCTTTTAATTTCAAAGTCGTCAATGCTATCTCCAGCACCGGAAACTCTGGAACTCCGGCGGTATTGCCATTTACTCCGGCGGATAATGGAACTCCCCTGCCACTTAATCCCAAGTAAAACTCCTCTTTCTAATCAGTCGATTATCGTTTAATCGTCGTCTGAAATGGTTATTAAGTCATTGTATGTCCTTTAAATTTGTTTATGCAGGGTTAAGTCTCATACAATCTCAGTGTTTGTTGGAGATGAAAGTGGTATTATCAACCGAATTACAGGGGTTTTTGCTAGAAGAGGTTACAATATTGAGTCCCTTGCTGTTGGTTTAAATAAAGATAAAGCTTTGTTTACCATTGTTGTCTCTGGAACTGAGAAGGTCTTGCAACAAGTTGTGGAGCAGCTTAACAAGCTTGTTAATGTCCTAAAGGTTGCATTTTTGACTGTTTATAACTTGTGTTCGACCATGAGAATCTTCTTTCTAATCTAGTTGTTGTCTGTGTCAGGTGGAAGATCTTTCCAGGGAACCACAAGTAGAAAGGGAATTAATGCTCGTGAAGCTTAATGTTGATCCAGGCAAAAGAGCCGAGGTTTTAGCTTTTTACATACTTATAGTATAATGTTTCTTTACATTCAGAAAACCTGCAAATTTACTGCCCACTTATACATAGCTATAGAAATTCGAGAGAAATTGGCCAAAAAAGCAAGTGCTAGAATTTTACATGTATTCAAGATTGATACTCACTTCATTTACCTTCAGATTATGTGGCTAGTAGACGTCTTTAGAGCCAACGTCGTGGATGCATCAGCAGACTCGTTGACCATAGAGGTGACTTCTTATTCATTATATCTGAATTAGGGAGATTCTTGTTATAGAGCTGAAAAACAATAGACATTTCATCAAAATGAGCACAAGTGGTGTATTGCCATGGCCTCATGTGTCTTTTTGTGTTCTTGTTGCATGAAAATACCTATGTATATGATCTTTACGTAGCATATTTGTAGTTTCGGTCTAGTGATTCTTCTCTGGGTAATTCAGGTTACTGGGGATCCTGGGAAGATGGCTGCCGTTCAGAGAAATTTAGCCAAGTTTGGAATCAAAGAGCTCACAAGAACAGGAAAGGTGAGATGTGATGACTGATGAGCGTTTCAAAGAGCATATATGTTGGTTAATATCAGTTAACTGAGTTTGCTGCAACTTATAGATTGCTCTAAGAAGGGAAAAACTGGGTGAAACTGCTCCATTTTGGAACTTTTCTGCAGCTTCTTATCCAGATCTGGAATCCCCGACTCCTACGTCTACTGTTTCAAGAATTACTCACACGGTTGCTGAGAATCTTACTGCATCGTCAGGGGTACGCTGTTTAATCTTTTTGCAGGTTTTCTTGCAATAATTTTGTGTTCTCTTATTGCATATTCTTTATTTGAATGAAGGGTGACGTTTATCCTGTGGAGTACTACAATGGCTTTGAAATGAATCAAGTTCTTGACCCCCATTGGGGTGTGCTCTATGACGAAGATGTAAGATGTTCAATCTCTCGCCTTCCATTAATGTCGTATCATCATATTCACATATGAATTCTTTATTACGGAAAAGCATTTGCACCCCAGGAGGACCATATCTTATAAGATTCTCACCAAATCACATTCTTGGTCTCCAAGATTATGCTTCCATTAGAAATTTCTCAAAAGCTAATTTTCTTTCTGTAATGTGCTAAAATCTTTTAGCATCCTACCAGTGATCATCACCTAGCAAAAGGGAAAATAGTTTATGGGCTAATCATAGATTTCATTTTTGACGCCCGAATTAATGTTGCAGTCAACTGGTCATCAGTCTCACACTTTGAACATTCTTGTCAATAATGCTCCTGGAGTTCTCAATCTGGTCACCGGAGTTATATCCAGAAGGGGTTACAACATTCAGGTTTTCTTGCTTATGATCCATGCACACAAATACCATCTTTTTAAATGAAGATGTTATGTAATATTTAGCTATGTGGTTTTAAGAATTGTATTTGTAATTGGTTGTTTACAGAGTCTGGCCGCAGGTCCTGCAGAAATGGAGGGTCTATCTCGCATTACAACCGTGATTCCTGGCACAGATGAATCTATCCGCAAGTTGGTCAAGCAGTTCTGCAAATTGGTGGATGTTCATGAGGTGAGATACATTAAAGATCGATCTACTTATAAGTTGATACGATCATTTTAGTACTACAACTTGGAATATGAATTATTTTATGCACTTTTGGATCTTGTTACAAAATCTCAGTTATGTACTTCTATTTACAGTAAAATCTTGGTTCAACTACTCTAAATCCTCACAAAAATTTGAAACTCTACTGTATCTTTGTAGGTCAAAGATATCACCTACCTGCCATTTTCAGAACGCGAGCTAATGTTGATTAAAGTAGCTGTAAATTCTGCTGCTCGAAGAGATGTTCTGGATATTGCCAGCATCTTTCGAGCCAAGCCTGTTGATGTTTCTGATCATACAATTACATTAGAGGTCAGTTTCCCTTCCCACAAATTCCAAAAACAGAAGTTGCGTTTGGAAAGGTGGGATGTATGCAAACCTGACCTTGTATTCCAAAGAGTAGAGCGGCTGTTTACCGACCCTTTACTCCCTCCCATTTTTGTTTTTTCCTATTTTTTTCTTTCTGATAACAGTGTTTTCATATGCCAGCTGACAGGAGACTTTAACAAGATGTTTGCACTTCAAAGATTATTGGGGTCGTATGGAATTTGTGAGGTTCGTATCGGGAACTTTGTCCTTGCTATCGTGCAACTTATCGGGGTTCTTTTTATTTTTCATCTTCAATTCTTTGTGCACATTTACTTGCGAGTAGTGATTACACTAGAACACAATAGAAAGTTTCAAAAATGACGATTTTAACCTTAATAATATAGGGAGGATAAATTTCTTTGTCTCATAATTAAGAGTAAAATTGGAAAGTATAAGCTTACTTATGCAGATGGACACTTATTTTGGGACAAATTAAAATAACATGTGGATACTTATTTTGGCATGGCGATTGTAAAAAAGATGCTGCTGTTTGTTGTTTTCCCTCTTAATGGTCTCTGATTGCATTCTATTCTGAAGGTGGCAAGAACGGGTCGGGTGGCATTGGTGCGAGAGTCAGGGGTCGATTCTACATATCTACGTGGGTACTCTCTTCCGTTGTAGTACGTGCTGTATGTTGTAACACTTCTTAGCGGATCTGCATTATAATCACTGCAATTTCGCCATCTATAAACGATGTTCCTTGCATCCTCCATGATCCCTCATTTAAAGTCCACTGGCTTTTCCAACCGGTACAGGATCTTGTATACGAGTGATCGGGATTTGTTGCGTGTACTTTTACCACTCAAAAGAAGGAATAAAAAAAAAAAGGAATGCCTATTGTTTCTTTTGAAATAGACGTTAAGTCTGTTCATATCTTATTTTGCATACTCTACTTTTGAGTGAGATATACTGGATTGGTTTACTGTATTTCCTCGCTGTATTTCCAGCGGTTATTTGGCCTGTATCCTGTTGTATAAGTTATTAAGATACGGTTACTGTTTTCTTGTCTTATTACCATTTTCCCCTCTTACTGGAAACCGGTTGGGATCAGAACAGTTACGGCACGATTGGTTACATTACCACGAGCAAGGACCGGCAATGATAAGGCCGGCCCGACTGGTTAACCTCAAAATGGTATGATATTATGTGGTAAGCAAGCACACAGGAGACATAAATCCCAACTCATCTTGAATCTAAAGCACATTTATTTCCAATTATCATCTTAATTAATTAATTAATATGAGACTTTGAAAACTTTCTATACAACTCCAGCTTACCAATACTTCCTTCCAAACATTCAACTCAAATAAAAAGTAAGAATACATAATTAACACTTACACTCGGACCCAAAAAATCTCAATAAGAATGCCCTTTCCAAGAATCGCTTTCTCTTGTCAAATTGTATCAGGAACCAAGATTATCTATCACCTTCTTCAAGGAGTGTGCAGATCGCGTAAATGGTCAACAACGTCACGTGAACCGGTCAACCACTTGATATCAGAGCGATGTAGTACATTTGCTTGGAGTCGTGTAGAATTGTCGGGTTTCTGTTCCATTGGCATAGACCTGTCCGACAAGCTTTGAGTGTGACGCACTCGAACCCTGTGACATTTTCTCTCGATGGAACAGCTGCCCCTCACTTCAATCACCAATAAAACTTCCTTGTCACGAACGTCTTCACACCAGCAGTTTTGAGGAACACCATCTACGTATTCCTCCAAAGTCTCGTATCCTTGGTGATGAACTGACATCTCCACAATATGATTTGGTTCTATTACGCCGACCGTTGGCTTCACCTGGTTTATGCAGCGCACTACGATCATTAGCTGCCTTCATCATAGATGCATCACAATAATTGAAAAGTACTAATCCAACGTTTTGGATGTGTTTGGCATGCGGACAAGAGTGAGCAGGCAAGTGAAAGAATCTTGGAATGTTTTAGGTCTTTAATTTTACATGGGTAGTTTAGTAATTCACCATCCTGTCTATCCTTGGTTTTATACTGGTGGGAAAAAAACAGAGTCATGTCATGTCCCAATCTCAAGTCGCGCCAAACGTGATACAAGTTTCTGTTTCGTCGTATCTCGTGTACCAAACACACCCTTAATATGAACGCAACTATGAGTCCAATTATGTATCATTTTTACCCGTAAAAGTTCCTTCTCTAAACTTTTCTTTCCCTGTTTAGATCTTTAAGACGCAAGATTTCAAAAAAGAAAGAACGAATATTTCATGAAATAAAAGATGCGGTAGGAGCATCAATCAATGAAGAAATTTACCTCAAGCCATCGTGGAAATCCAAAAGAACCTCTCGCGTGGTGAATAGATGCTTGCTTTCCATCTTTAATGGTACCCTGACCTTCACATACGACTCTAAATAGAGCTTTGTCTTCCCCACACTTGTTGGTAATGCGCAAGATTGATTTATCCGTGTCCTGAAGAATTATATTGTTTGTACTGAGAATGGTATCGGGAACCTTGCATTGTTCTTCAAGAATATGCCTTATTTTCTTATTAGATTTGATAATTTCTCCGAACAGTTTTCTTCTTTTTGGCTCGTCAACTCGAGCCAGCTCCACACCAAAGATGCAACGCACAGGCTTATGATCACTATCTGTAACATCCATGCAAGCTTCATACCTGAAAAAAACAAGTCATTCAGAAAGCAAATAATCATTATGATGATGACCGTTACCCTAACCACAACTTTTATTAGTAGGGAATGATGATTGCACTGATAATATTGACTTGCAGTAATGTTGATGATGATGATATAAAGATGAAGACAATAAAAATGTATGCCTACAAAGTATAATATCAGGTACGAATTGGTGTAATCACCCTGATTACCATCAAATGCTTCTAATAAAATCATTTGCTCGTCTAATGTTTGAAAAAGAAACATGAAAAATTAGGTTCCATAAATTTACACGGAATTAAAGGCAAATGAGGTATTAGATGTCCTAATATCAATTTGTTTCTGTGACGCCTCTCTTGCTCAAGCAGTGTATCTTGATTACTTAATTTTATCTCTGTTCCAATGAAAATAGAATGTCAACAAGTGATCACAACAGATCTGTTTTCCTCAAATGATAGGAAATTTCTGGGTTTGAAAGATCCATTTAAGACATTCACAAGAGCCTATTTTAGAGTTGGAGCACACACTTGTGTTTATATTCATCCAGGATAGTAAAACACTAATTGGATGGAGCAAACTTACTGCAAAACTGAAGAAACTACAGGACAGTTCAAACTGCATGTGTATGATGAATCTGGACGGCTGTCCCGGTATAAGACTCGATCGCACCATGCAGGAATGCGCTTTTTTTCTCCAGAATCATACCCTACAACATGAGCGATTACACCATGTTAGCAACTTCACAACTTTGATAACTTCGTTTTGGGCATAAAAATGTAGAGGAGTTGTTAAAAAGGCTGAAAAGTTAAGCCACGATCCAGAATCAAACGAATATGGATACCAGCATTTATATATTTACCGTATTACATACCTGCTAAACCAGCCTGGTGCCTTTCAAACTTGTAGGTGGGGGGAAACATAATAACAGCTTCACGCATTCCTTGGAAAACACTGCCAGCCTTCATTTCAATATGCAGCTGATCCTTCTCTTTGAGCCAGTCAAAGCTTCTTTGAGAGATAAAATCTCTTGCTTCATCGTAAGATATATCATCGAGCCGATAATTAAAGTCACCTAGAAAGACAACCATGTCTGCCTCGGATATCTCTGGCAACTCATCCACAGACAGGGCACCCATAGCCTGAAATAGTATCAATTTCTGTCATCGTTTAATCTCAAGATTCTTCTAATAATTGGGCATATTCTTCATTTCTCTAAAAGAACAGTCATTGATACAGGCAAGGTTAACAACAAGAGAGACAACAGTGACATCAAAAAGAGAATGTACCTACATTTGCAACACGAGCCATTTGGATAGCAGATGACACTCCAGCTGCAAAAAGCAACACCGCCACCAAGCGAGAACCATAGAGAATCCATGATAAATAAGATGAGCAAGCAAGCAAGCAAGATAAGAAAAGGTATGGCGCCATACCAGCTGCTGCATTCGAAAGATTTGATGGACGACTGAAGGACATTGTCTTGTACACATGATCAAAATCAGCATTACGACGATTGACCGCTTCCAGGTGTGCAGCAAAGTGACAATTCACAAAACACATAGTCCGGCCATAGACTCTCATTCTCAAACCAACTGCTCCCTGTGCACAATAATGGATTAGTAATATAACTAAAATAATGGAAGATGTAAATGCTGGTTTAAGGATCAGCTACAGAGCAAAAATTTGTATGTGCATCGTTTGAAGCTCCAGTAACTCCAGTAAATTAGCATGATTGAATTGCAGCAGTTACCTTATTACCAATAGCATTTCCAAATCCGCATGGAACTGCTGCAACATCAATATCCCCAACATCACCTCTAATACTATTTCTGACCCTGAAATGACATTCAATAGTCAAGCACGAGACAGAGCACAGATAATGCACTCGATCTAAAGTTCATATAGAGAAGTTCAATCACCACACATTAGAATTGAGGAATTTTCGGGTGGAGAAACATTACAAGGAAAAACAAAAAATACAATTGAAAAGGGGAAAAGAAACAAGTGGGCTTGCTATAAATCGAAAACGAAATTAATTTGACGCGGAAAGAAAAGACCAAGTAAGAACCTTATACAGGTCTTGGGACAGTTTGAAGTTGATATTCTATAATTGGGAAAAATGATACAACCGAACACTTATGAAGTATAGGTGTTAATCATGGCATAAACCTTGCAATTTTTCTAGTCTACTTCAGCCAATCAAAAGAGTCAACTGAAACTCAAAAGTTGCTATTACAAGTAAAACATGCTTCGTTATACAATATTACGACTGGATGGTATGGTTTAAACGGAAAGGAATAAACAGTCCTCAACATTGGTGAATAACAAAATACTCACCATACTCCAATAAGCATGCCTGCCAGCTGTCTAGAACCAACACGATGAAAACTAGAACCTTCATCCAAGGTTTTCCCTATCATGTCCCGCCACCACTGCCCCGCAGAACTTCCCTCAAGGCCTACCTGCATCTGCAGGTAAAGAGAATTTCAAAATCAAGATGTCTCTACATGGAGCAGGATGTGGTTTGTTACCTAACAATCCACCCAAATCGAGTAAAAATGCAGAAAAGAAATGTCCGACATACAGTTTTTGATTTAGTTTAGTACCCTTCACCTTAAATGAGCAATGAATAGATAAACTTGTTATGTCAAAACTTTCTGGCCTACAAAGTTATGATTTTTTATCCAGAAAACCACTGTTAGGCACCATAGGCAAGTATCAATATGATATGTGAGTTGTCCATGCCTACTTGGAGAACAAATAGATGAATATAGTTAACCTGGGTGACAGAATGCAGCAGCCAACCATTCATATGTTGAACATTTTTTTACCCAAAAGAGAGAACAAGAAAGAAACATCATCAAATTCAAAAAATGGTCGTCATGTGCATGGAATCTCAAACTGAATCTTTTTAAAAAAACCAGCGTAGATCATATCACTGTAAAACCTTAATAGTTAACATGGTTCATTCAATAAGATCCACTGTCTCCCTTCCCCACCAACTCTTCTCTTAAATGCACCACAAGTGTCAAGTGTCAACATGAATATATTAATCCTACATGCCCTGAAACTACGACCTCATGAATATCTGCCCATAATAGACACAATTCATAGGAAAAGGAGCTCTAAGGAATCACTTGCCAACTTTAGCATGCCTGGACAAGCAAAAGGACTTTTTACACCTAAGAAAGTTTCACCTGTAGATAAAGAAATTCCTTCTCATCATTTTTGTTATAGAATACAGATTGGAAATCAAGTGATCCTGCCAATTATCTTATCCATAGAATACATATGTTTTAGTGATGTGTAACTCCTAAGAGAACAGTCTTTCAACTCCTAGGTAAAGCCTAAGGCAGAATCCCATCCCTAAAGGCTAAAATAATATTTGAAAAGCTTTCAGAGGCAATGGCAATATAATTTCCAAAGGTTTCGGTGTGGTATGTGTGATATATTTAAAAACCCCAAGGGTTATATGCACAAGGTGAGCTTAATTAACCATTACAGACAAATGCCAGAAGGTAATTCATGTTTCACTTAAAAAACTGTAATTCTTCTCATGAACCACTAGTAAGTACACAAACTTGCACAACGATAAGCATTTGAACTACATAAGATAATAAACTAAACTGAATACCATATAATTTGGTAAAGAAAGGTTGCAAGAACGATAAAATCCTAATGGAAGAAAGAGAATAGAGATAATCTAGATAACCAAACCAAACAAACCCAGTATCTCCTACAAGGAGGTAGGGTCTAGTAAAAGATAATGTAGACGAAAAATGACAAAAAAACTATGCATACATCCAACCATATTATATAGTCCATGACTAGACAGATGGCTTTGTACACTTTACAATCTAAGCTTACATTTTCTTCTGGTTCCATGTGGTGGATTCTACCCATTTTATGTTCATTTACCTATATTTCTCATGTGACCACATCTTCTACTTAAAGCATCCACCTTTGTATCAAAAAATCATTCTGCTAAATGTGATCCAACCATGTTAGAACATATTCTCTCATTCATGTCCAACAACGCCAACAAATTAAATTAACAAAAATCTAGAATGGAACTTATTGCCAAGATAATATGCTTTCATATTTTATGATACTCTCTCATTTAATGTTGAAGTATGCCAAGCAATTGAACAAACACAAATCAACATGGGTTTTGTAATCGTAGTCATAAGAGCATCTCCAACAGATTCCCCCAAAATGTAGAAAATAGAGATTTTGGGGATTTTGGACATGTTTTTTGCTCCAACAGATTCTCCAAAACCTTTCTCCAGAATGGAGAAAGTAGGAGAGAGAGTCTTAAAATCTCCAAATTTGGAGAACACCCAAATATGATTACAATGAGAGAGAAATATTATTTGATACATTTCCACCAACTGGGAACTTTGAAAATAGATATTTAGAGAGAAATAAAATTTTGTTAGACGAAACGAATATTATAATAATATAAGCAATGTTGTAATCTCCAAAATGGAGAAATAATTTTAGAGAATTTAATATTTCATTCTCCATTTTGTAGAAATTTTGGAGAATTTGTTGGAGATGCTCTAAGAATATTCACACATATGATGTTAGATTATCTTACAGTTTCTCTAGCAGCAGACATTGCAAGAAACCCAGCACCCATTTCGACCTCCTGCAACCCAACAGCAACAATGTCAACATCTTTGGCTGCAGAACCGAGCCAGGATATAAGTGAGTCTTGTGTTGCTCTTCCTTGGGCAACATTCCATGTGCCAGCCAAAATTCTAAAATTTTCTAGCCTTGTATATTGTAATTCTTTGCCAGATATCTCTGAACATAATATGCTATCTAAAGACCCTGGGGATGATATACACCATCCACGTATGCCGCCGTCATTGGCCAATGTAAAGATATAACCTGGCCCAACAGCCATACGAATGATAGGACTGCAATGAGCAACCCACTCTCCAAGCAAATTACCATCAAGATCCAGTACATGTAGTGTTCCACTTGCATACCCCACCCATATTCGTAATCCAAATGTACATAAGCAACGAATCGCATGGGAATTATATTGGAATTCTTGCAATCGGTTTCCGTTTGCATCCCACTTCGTGATTAATCCATTTGTAGATGCAGTCCAAATGGTCCCATCACTCGTTATGATCAATGCTTCAATTCTCCGGGAATCCTCACCAAAAGCTCCTTTGGCTGCAACTCGAAGGACAGCATCAGCTGCTCCCATTATTGCATTGCGTGAACGCTGGAAGAAACTAATTGCACTCTGTGTTTTCTCTTTCTTAGGATAAGATGCAAACTTCATCTTTGCCTCCTCTTCTGCTGTCAGATCCTGTATTACTGTCAAATTTTCGACTAGGCCGTCGATATTGAACACTTTCAACAACTCCCTTGTATAAGCATCCCTGCAGTTAGAATTTTTTTTAAAGGATGTGAGGATAGTACCACATAGAGATAACAGTTATATACAAACTTCCTACTATGTTTTTAGCTGCTTTCAATGATGCAACGTGTTCAAGAAATCCAGGAAAACATAGTTTTAAGCATTGAATAGTATTCCGCTTCGAAAGGGGTGCGTGCAAAGTTCAGTAAAATATTAGAAAGCCCAAGAGGAGATCTTTTCGAAAGTCAACATATGATGCCCACATACAAAGCCTAGAGAATGCATGATATAATACAAGTGGAACTAATTAATCTGATGTAGGAGCACATCATTACTTGAAAAAGAACCTATACATAGATTTCACCCAACACCGGTGCATATTTGTTTCGCTACCCTAAGAAAAGAACCAGCCATTTTATATGAATATTCGGACATCCAATCCACTTCAAAACTGGCAAAAGAGTAGTCAGTCATATGAAAGGTGCCTATTGTCTATTGTCATATGAATACGATTTAGCTTATTGGGGTCCCCTTGAATTAGTTGTGGCCTTTTGTGCTGCCAGAATAGTCTAAATTAGTTGCTGCATTAAATCCTCATATTGGATCACTCTTGGAAGATGAACTCTCTTATTATGTATGATAATGGGTGATTTAAAAGTTATTTCTTATGCTTGAAGAGTTCCAACTCATCTTTAAAGTTGTCCATATATATAGGCTACATGGACAGGAGTTGATAAACATTAATAAACCGATAAGCTCTAGATAAGACAAGTTGTACATAACCCTATATCTTAAGAGTTACCCGTTCCCAAGTTAGATCATATGAGTTGACACATCCAACTTGTCACATACAGACTAATCTGTGATTCATCTAACAGCTATGTCAACATATCTAAAACCTAATCTCATGAGCATACCATCTTCTCAACGACAGAGGTTGGCAACCTCAATATGCTTCGTGAGCTCATAAAAAATCTGATTCTTGGAGTGCATGGAATTTCCATCAAAAACCAGTTGAGGACAGAAAGTATGTATTACTACACAAAAGTTTTCATGCATAAATATTGCAGATTGTTATAGGCTTCAATATGTTACCAATATTCCAGTAATAATATATAAGGTATCATAGCTTTGAACTTCTTCTGATGGAATTTCAAACGAAGGACTTAGAAACCCCCAAATACTAGATCTGGTATTGCATTTTTTATGTGGTGACCTGTTCATTACTTCCCTGTTGTAAAAGCAGCACTCATGCCTTCCTTGGCCTAATCTTTTGTTTCATCCAAAAATCAAAATCAACTAATTGTCAAACCAAAAGGTCAAACAGAAAGTCTACATTCATTTAAAGAGAGCGATGGAACATTCAACACAAACAACAAACTATAAGCCCCTTTTGTTAATCACACAGGTAGCAATAGACAGCCAAAGAGGCAATCAAGTCACACAGGTTAATGTACTATGTGATGCCACAAACAAAACATCTAGACCAGAACCGACCAGGTCAGTTACAGATTCAGTAGTGAACCTCCGACATCATATGGAACCTCTCCGGTTCAATTTGTCAGCAAACCTACACACGAGTCGCCTATCTAGCACCTTAGTACAGCCTCAGGCTGTCAGGCAGCAGTGAAGGAAGAAGTTAGGGTGTATGGCACCTCACTACAGCTTTCAGAGGAAGACAACAAAAGTGACCACGTGTGAAGTCTTAAACAACAGCCTGAAACTGCAATTATGAGATGTCGGCATGGGTGAGCCAGAAACTTCAGTCGTAATTGGTAGTTGAGGTAAAGGTGGCTGGCAATTTGGCTTTTGGATTGGGAAGTCAAAACTATAGTGGCTGCAAGCAGGGAGCTGCATTGGTGGCTAGTATGGTGGGCCTATGGTCTTTTCGGTTTTGGAGCACTCAGCTCTAATCCCCATGTAAAAGAAAAGGCCCAATAGAATACTCTGTTATGGAGAGAAAATTATTATATATGTACACAGTACATAATGGGTGGCAAAGCCATATAGTTAAGAACATATATGAATTACTGGTGTCCTAACACTTGGCACTGTCATGGCTACTAAATTAGTCACTTACCATAATGCAGATGACAGAGGCCCTGCGCTCCAAACTTTTGCCGCAGAACGATCAGATAACATATATTTAACATCTGCTGCAAGTATACTACATGAGATGCCATTCGTAGTGAGTTGGTTCTTGAGATCGATGTACGACCTCTCAATGACCAAAGCTGCCACATGTTTTTCCTCTGTTGTCAACAAGAGAGCCTTTTCAATGGCTTCCCAAGGCCAAACAATTATTGCACCACCCTCAGATCCAGACCATAGATCACCTGGATAAAGTTCAGAATCAGATGAATACCATAGTTGGCTAAAAAGAAAATCAGAGTGCCAGAATACAGCAATTTGATTTAAGTGTTGTATAAATTTTTGAAACATGGTATAGTTATTATTCCTCTAGCTAGTTTTAACATTCTAAGCACATGTTTCCATTTTCTGTTCATCTAAATAAGCATGGATATATCTGTTCGCAGAAGGATGCTCACAGCGTCAAGATTGTTTAAATTTCATACAACCCAAGGACAAGAAAGTTGCAGATAATGATTTTGTTTGTATGAGAAAAGCTCTCTTACATGCCGTATAAACATTTAAATTAAAATATTACCCAGAGCATCACAACTGAAGCAACTACAATTAAGCTAGGCTAGCAAATAGTGTGTCGCCAAGAGTGTACACATCCCAGTAACCGTTGCACATTCAGGTGAAATTGGCTCATCACAGCAATGACAGCATGGGTTGGGTTCCGGTCACGGACGGACCCAGGGGTGGTTGTGGTGGCACGTGCCACCGTATTGTCCCTCCATTGTAAGCTAAAAAAATTAGGTTCGTGAAAGGTGCAACTGTATTGTTTTAGAAAAGACCCGTTTTCATGAGAAGGTGAGAAGACAACAACCTTCACACAATGTAATGTAACCAGCTTATCTTTCGACCTGTGAATATAACATTATATTGTGTGAAGGCAATTGAAGACAACAACCTTCACACAATGTAACTTACATACACATTTTCAGGTCATGTGAAGGTTACAACAATATTATGACATAACATTCACATAATATAAAGATATCTTCACCTTTTCTCACCTTCTCATGAAAATGAAAATTTCTCCATGATCCCAAGTCTCACATCATTGATATAACTCCAGAAAAAATTTAGCATGCTAAGCCAGAAACAACTGGTATGAGAAAATAAGAGGCCAAGTGCAAGAATTCCTTCTAAAAGTACTTTGATATTTCATATAGACTAGAAATTTAAAAAGAAAATTGTTATATGAACTCCTTCTGAAAGTACTTTGATATTTCATATAGACTAGAAACTCAACAAAATAGTTATATCTAAAAGATATTTTGTAGAAGTCCTGTATATAAGGTAGTTCATAAAACATTAGAGTATATAACTTTTCCAAGATTTTACTTGCACTTTTTTCATATTTCTTGCTAGTCATGAACCCTGGTCTTCTTGTAAGGTGATATCCACCCAGATAATATATTAGAGTGCATAAATTAGGCCAAACTTGTACATATTTGAAATTTGATGTACTATCACCAGCATAAGAAGTACGCCAAACTGTGGTTGTCAAACAATAGCTAATAATCATGTTCCACTCTAGTCATCAAAACCATATCGAATCAAATACATAATATTCCAAGAAATTTCAATGTCAATAGATATCAGCAAAAAAATTTGAAATTTCCACAAAAGCAAGATATATATTACCATAGGACGAGATGGCCATCGATAAAACAGGTCCACGATGAGCCTGCCACGAAAGGCGCTCTCTGAAAGGAACCTCGGGTTCATCAGAAGATTGAAACATTTTCCAACAGATAATCTTCCCATCCTTATGACCGCTCCAGACCATCTTGTTCCCATCATCGACCACCAAACACAACGTAGGCGACGTCCTCACTGACTCACGAAACGGTACTTCAACCTCATCTCCCCCCTCCCCCATCCCTGCGGCATACATATTCTTCATATCCCACACCCTAACACCGCACTCAGACCCCGCCCACAGTTGCTTCCCATCCCCAGTCCCCTCCAATATCCTAAGGAAACACCCAATCTGTGTTTCCCTAAGCGGATGGGGCCGAAATTCGAGACTCGGCGGCCGGCCAGGATGTACAGCAGCCCTAACTGGTAACTTAAACATCCCACGCCCTCCACCACTACCTATGAATTCCGGTAACGCCTGTTTAACTTCATTGTCCTTTCCATCCACCGTCAATAACTTCCGGTCTAGATACTGCATCATGTAATCCAGCCGATTTCCGGCGGCCTGCACCAAAGAATAATCACCACCAGTACTACCACCGCCGCCGCCGCTCCCAGTTGAGTACATCCCATCTTCCGATGACGAATCGTAGAACCGATCAAAAACCATAAGGGGTTTACTAGTGCTAGTGTTGTTATCAAAATCTTCTTCACCATCATCATCAAAACTAATCAAATTCGGAGAATTGCGACCAGAATTTACTTGAGGACTTGCCGGAGAGGAGTTCAACGATGAGAAAAGGTCATCAACGGCATGATCCCTGTCAGCCATAGCTGAATTACACCCACAGACGTATAGAAAGAAGTTGAAAAGGCCGATATCCAGAAAGAAAAAGGAGAAAATCTAGGGATAGGAAGAGATCGTTTTGTAAATGTGTTTGTGTTTCAGACAAAATTGAAACTGCTGGGAGAGAGAAGGTGGGAGATAGGTGAAGAGTACTCGTTTTTATATGATGATGGAGTGGAGGCACGTTTACTAGGTGTGTTTCTTGTTCTTTTCTACAATTATTACACCTTTATACCTCAAATTTGTAACATACCATAATTTATAAATTATGAATATCCGATTTCTATCGGTAATTTTGATCTGGAAGAAGACATTTTAAAACGACCGATTTTGATAAAGAGGTTCAGATATCAAACCCGTTATGCGTCTTATGCATTCAACAAAGTTGTTTTATCGCTTTCCCATCTACGTCGTGATCAAATTAGACATTAAGGATCTTTTTTCAGTTTCTATGACATCATGGGACAATATAGAATTCAACAAGTTTAATTAATTTTATTTCACATTTAGCTTGGTACATAATCTATAATATATTATAAAGCATTTGGCAAAAACTCTTACAAACTATTTTTTATGCATTAAGTACTGTATATTCATACATATTACTTAAAATTCAAGATTACAAGTAAATTATGCATAAGTACAACTTATTAAGGCTCCATGTTCGAATTCGTGTAACTAATTGCGGATAAACATAATGAAATAGAGGATAAACATCTTATTTTAAAATATAAAAAATCTAAAATATAATTAGGATAATTATCGAGTTCTAACAAAATAATTAATTATTATATTTATAAAAAAATTATATTATTAAACCAAATATAAATTACTTCGTTATTGAACCTAAATTAAATTATAATAAGAAAAAAATTGATTAAAAAATTACACAAAAATAGAAATTTTAAAAAATTAATTTGATATTAATATCGATATATTATTGGCAAATTTTTATGATATCTTTATATTTATATTTTATTCAAAAATAAAAACATGATCATTTTTTCAAAATCACATAAGACCATATTATAACATCGACTGATATATAAAATAAAATAAAATATTAAAATCAAGATGTATCTCGTTGCATTGCGTGAATACTCTTCTAGTTAATAATAAATATAATAAAATTAATGTTATTTATCCCATTGGAAAAAAATTGGAAAAATAAGACTATTTTACCAAAAATAATTATACAGTCATCTAGAATTTTTTTTCCTTCCAAACATGTATTTTTTGAGATGTTGAATGTTAGGGAAGGTCATATGAGAATGAAATGTATTTAAAAAAAAATAAGAGTAATCTAGATCAATCATTTATTTGAATAATGCTTTAAATAAAACTTTTAAAAAAATCGTTCAAAAAGACATACGTGTCATTTGTTGTATATAGATTGTATATGAGAATTCATTTATTTCTATAAATATTATTTAATGCATTAAATGAAAGCGTTTATTCATATGTAATACATATGGTATGTGTAAATTAAGTTTTGAAGTGCATGTAATCTTTTACATTTTAAATATGTTTTTCTATACATCACATGTGATTATGTTTTCGTGATTTTTTTTTCCTTTTCAATGTTTAATTTGGATAATTACTTTTCAAGTAAATCACCCAGGTTCGGGTCCATAAGCAGTGACAATTGCCCTATAAATGCTTGCTTTCGCTATGACTCCGGTGGGTTCCCTTAACCAGGTCACTGCCTATGAGTTGTCGGCTCATTCTTCATCAGACACGTGGTCAGAGCCCTGGGCTCCTTCCACTGCTTGGGAGCTTACTGTTTCATGTTCTATTTTACTCCCCGATGGGGTTTTTTTCACCCTTCCCTCACGGTACTACTTCGTTATCGGTCACCGAGGAGTTTTAGCCTTGCAAGGTGGTCCTTGCTGATTCATATAAGATTCCACGTGTCCCATGCTACTCGGGTCAGAGCGTAAGCTAGTGATGCTTTCGGCTACTGGACTTTCGTCATCTAGGGTGCAACATTCTACTGCTTCGCCTAGCAGCACGATGTTTGTATTGCTCTCTCACAACCCCGTTTTCACGGTTTAGCCTGCTCCCATTTCGCTCGCCGCTACTACTGGAATCACTTTTGCTTTCTTTAAGTCACATATGATTAGAAAAATATCTTGAAAAAAATATTTATTGATTGTGAATCACATGTAATTTTGACGAAAATTGTAATTTTTTTTAAATATTGATTTAAACAACAAATTTAATTCTTTAAATGAAAATCAAACACGCTTATTTTAAATATATTAAATAAAAAATATTTAAAAAAATTCAAATCATATTAAAATAAAAAATATGGTAAAAGTAGAGTTTTAAATAGATGTCTTAAACAACTTTTATACAACTAAATTACTTGTATACTCTTATTTATTTATTTTTAAAATTAATTAGTTAAGATATATTTTAATGAAACGTATGATCTATATTTATTCTCTTATTTTTTTAAATATATTTTATTCTCGTATGAACCTGACTCTTATGAAATAGTATAGAACTCAACAAGTTTAAAAGCTTTTATTTCACGTCTGGTTTTAATACATAATTAAGACTAAGGGGGTGTTTGGGATTGCTTATTTAAAACAACTTATGCTTTTTTGTAAAAATGTTTATTAACTTATGTGGTATCAAACTGGAGTTTTGTAAAAAGTGTTTGGATTAACTTACAGCGGTACCAAACTGCAATAAGCTGATAAGTTGTTTTTTAGTGTTTGGCAAATTTTGTTTATATCTGTAAAATGACCAAAAAGGACAAAGAGAAGATTGATGTTGTTATATGGAGAAGGGAGAAGATTGAGATCGATGTTATCTGGAGGAAAAAAGATAGGTATAAAGAGTAATAGGGTTAAAATGGTAAACTGGTAATAAGCAGTTTTTCATAAGTCAGGACGGATTAACTTATCAAAAACTGCTTATGACCGGTTTGGCACCGGTATAAGCAGTTTTCTTTTTTCTTATCCAAACACTAGGTATTAGCTTATCACCGGTGCCAGACTGAAATAAATCAATAAGCAGATAAAATAAGCAATCCCAAACACCCCTAAATATAATAAAATATTATTTATCCCATCCAAAAAGAAAAATATCAAAAACAATTATGCCGTCATCTAATTTTTTTTTTTCAAACACGTCTTTTTTTTCCCACATGTTAAATGCTATCACGTATAAATAACTTTAACAAAATAATTTAAATGTTTATTTGAGTTGTTATGATTTTTAATAAACTTATTATATACTTAATTTTTTTTGTAATATCGTCTAATATTTACTATTATTTATTATTTCATTTCTTTAACATATGCTTTAATTCATTTAATACAAATCTTGAATTGGATTACATAATATCAAAAGGTTTTAATAAAGTTATGCGATTAAAGTTATAAAAAAAATTCAAAGCTCTGTCATATTTTCAAGTTTTTGTTCTTTATTTATTTAATATCCGTCTTTCTGTCTTTTTTTTTTCTTTCCCTTTCTGTTATATTGTCAAAACAAAGGTGAATGTCTGCAAAAATCTTAAAAGTGTATGTCTATGTAGAACCAAGGATCAGAAATTTAGATATTCGTAGTACTTTTTAGATATATAAAAAAATGTCAAATCTTCACGTTGTGTTGATAATGGGTTTGATTTTTGAAGCATTGAACAAACGAATTCATGATTAAAGTTGTTGTAAGGCATGAAATGGGTATACGTCGTTGTCATAAAGGTTTTTTAAACCGATAATAGATATAACATATAATAGAAAAAATATTATTTTTAATGAAAAATAAAAACTACGATAATCTTTATGAAAATTGAATATTTAATTGTATGTGTGGTATGGATATATTTTTTGACTAATTAATTCCTAACCTATTTTTCATTATTTATATGGTTTTGTTTGTTTAAACTTATAATGATGTTGATATTAAATGTCTTTTATTGATAAAAATCATTTAATCTCTCTCATGTTTTATTCATTTTGGAGAAAATTTTAGAAAATTTATTAGGACAAAAATTTGTCCAAAATTTATATTTTCTCCATTTTGAATTATCTTGTTGAAGATGAACAAATATGTCAAAATTGGATTACATTATCCTAGTTTTCTACTGATTTTACATGTGAAAATGTCAAAAACTTTTTATGTCAAGATGAACAAGGGGTTGTTTGGTTCAGACTGATATAAAAATGAAAAATGGGAATTAATTTTCATTTAACCAATCTGACTTATAATGAAAATTTGGATTTGTATGAGAATAAACCTATTATATCATATAAAACTTACATTTCCTTTTCCTTTTATTTTTAGTAATTACTGCTTAATACTTTTAATGAAACATCTCTCAAATCTACATGAAAACGCCAGAGCTCTGAAATGACAAGATTAGGATTAGGGCGTGCACACAAGTAAGTTACACCATACCTGGTAGAGATGGCCAAAAATGGGTCTCCGGCCGAGCCCAAATCAGTCCCAATCTCAAACATGATTGCAGTAACCGGCACCGACCAAAAACCCAAAGTCCAGTTAAGGTACTTTGTAACCGGTCTCGGTCCTGGGCCGGGCCTAATCGGTCCCACTTTTTTTAAAGTAAAAAATCGATTTTTTACATATATGTATTTTTTTGAAGTTTTTAAATAAAAAAAATTCAAAAATGTTATTATAACACACTTTAAAATATGTAATTGGGTACATAAAATACACTTAAAATTAGTTTTATTATAATTTATTAAAAACGGAAACCAAATACGAGCTAAAATCACGAATTATGGTGAGAATTATGAACCTTTTTTTTGTGTTTGTGAATTGTTATTTCCCCCATACACCATGATTTGTATATAATACAGGGTCAATGGGATAAAAATGGTCAAAAAATGAAGAAAACGGTAATATGACCATTCCAGTGGCTATAAAAAACGTAATTCTTTTTGAAAAAAATCGGGCCGGTCACGGGGCATAAACGGTCCCGGTCCTGGCCGGACCAAACCTTGTTTTTGATGAAAAGTGTAATCGGTTCTTAACGGATGATATCAAATCGATCGGTTACGGTCGGTCCCGGCCCAGCCCAATGGGCCTCTCTAATACCCGGATTGATTCCTGGACCGGGCACTGGGCAACATGTTTTGTTTTGGGTTGCAACTGATGAGCTGAAGTAAATCAGCCCATAAAATTTTGGACTGATTCTGTGGGCTTATGATTTCTAATATTTTTCTGTATCGTATGTCCGTAACTAAACTAAGGGGCCGTTTACTAAACACTTACCCGGTAAGTACTTACCATGTAATTTTTCTCACCGGATAAACACGGCAAGGGCCAAGAATCTTACCCGGTAAGAACGAGGATAAGGATGAAGAGTCTTACCCGGTAAGAAATAGGATAAGGATGGAGAGTCTTACCCGGTAAGTGAGTGAGGGTAACGACTCTTACCCGGGTAAGCGCTGACCAGGAAAATTGTTGCATGAAATATGTTTTGATATACTACAACCTTACCCAATAAAACAAATTATAGTGTTCGACTGCTAAGGGTAAGCACTTACCGGACAAGCATTTAGGTAAACAGTTCCTAAGTAAAACTATTTCACCCCATTTAATTTTATTGATTTAAATCAGTTATTTTTTTTTTTTTAAATGCTATTAATTTTGTAAGTTACGAGTTTGCTATTTAAAATCATCATTAGTTTTTTCTTTTTACCATTTCAGTAAAAAAAAAAAGGTTACAAATTAACTTACAATTTGTTGTTTTAGCCGCCTACCGGCCAGCTAAAGGTAAATCAACGGTCCCCTCTTACTTYTCATGCGAGCAGCTCGAAGGAACTTAATATTTAATAAAACAGATATACAAATAATACAATTCATATTTTATGATAAGAGCTATAAATAAATCTTATACATACAATGCTTTTTTATTTAATAAATAAATAATACAATTTAATTTTTATTATGAACATGTTGTATTTATTTGATAATTCCAACTTTACTTAATCAGTAGTTTGCAATAATTAATTAATATACATAATATAACCAGTTTTATGAATATTAAAGAATTTAAATAAATTAAATTTCTTGAATAGGACAAATGACAGGTTGGAGTGGCTTGATTTATGGTATTCTTTATACCATTTATATAAGATTGGATATTGATATAAATTCCCGACAAGATAGATAATGAATCGTGGATTTTGACAAATAAGAACATTGATTCTACACTTTCGACTGACAACGAAATACTTAGACATGAGACTATTATACATTTAATATCAATAAATTGATAAGATTACTGAGAATTGTAGGATTATCAATTATTGATGACAGTTGACATATGTTTAAGCAACAAGATTATTCGGATGGAATTTTATTATATGTATGAAAATAGGGATACATAGCTATTGTACTATGTATTTTAATGTTCATGCATTTGTATTTATGAGATTTGTGATATCTATGTTGTGTGTTATGTACAACATATGCAAAAAAACAAACATTTTACACAATACACGTGAATGTTTTTTTGGTCCAACTGTGGGTATGCTTGGATGTTGAGTTTAAGGTTATGAAAGATGGACGACCATAAAAGGGTGTCTCATTGTTCATATGACATGAGTACATTTTTGTATCCATACAATATGACGAGTGATTATTATCACAAAATGAATCCACATGGTGCATGCAACTCAAAGAATATCTCATAACTCAAAAATGATTTTATGGTATGTGGAAGATTGTGTGAGAAGAATAGTTAATATGATAAACGTAAGAAGAGATTTGGACTATTTATCAAACTCACTTATTAATCGCGCTTGATACTTGGTAAACGGTCCCTAACTATGATTTTTGTCCATGTGGTTTATTTAGAGTTGTGAATTTCATCCATATTTTTAAAATTACAATTTTTGTCCTTATAGTTTGTAATTGTTTGTTGTTTTCATCCTTGAGGCAATTCAATATAATTAATTAAGAGGAACAAAAATATCAATAAAATAGAGCCCATAAATACAAAAAAATATCCACAAAATAATAAATTATATGAAAAAAAAACAATGAATTATAAATCATAAAGACCAAAACTGTAATTTTGAAACATAAAGATGAAAATAACAATTTATAACAAACCATCGAAAAATATAATTTAGAGCATTTTCAACAGATTATCTTTAGTTAAATAGTTAAAAATCAAAAATTCCATAAAATATAAGATTCATTTTTAACAGATTCTTTATTTTAAAGAATCAGTTATATTATTAAAATATTTAATACGTTACATAAAATATAAATTTTCTCATATATATATATATATGTATATAATTTTAAAAACTTTTATCGGAGAGTAATAAAATATTATTTAAAGAATTTTCCTTTTTTCTTTTCATTTCTTCATTTTGAAAAAGATTTTAAAGAATTTATGAAAATAAAAAACATGAAAAATCTATTTTTTTTTTTTGTTTTGAGTAATTTATTAAAGACGTCTTTAATTTGTATAAAAATAAATAATTCATTTAATTAGCTCGATTAATTATAATTACGTGGTTTTGACCGCAAAGGGAAAGTAAATTCAGAATAATACCAAAATTAATGAAACATTAATTATTATGGATTATATTTGGATTAAATAAGGCAATTTCCATCATTTGAAAGTTGAACGATGAAAACAGAATCAATTGATAGCTGAAATGGCGGGTCTCTACCTTTCTCTCTCTCTCTCTCTCCTCTTCTTGTTTCTTGTCCAGAATGAAAAAATGGATGAAATTCTGTATTTTGGATCCTATCCCATTTAATAAATTCAATCTATGTGGAGAAAACAGAATCAGTTTCCATCACTTGAAAGTGGAACAAGTAAAGAATGAATGAATACAGACAAAGAAAGAGACACGAAAGGATCGCCACCAACTGCTCTTCACAAGGGTCCTCCGCATTAACTATGTACCCACGAATCCACACTTGTATAATAATACTATAAATTACTCAATAATATGGGCGGAGTTACTTGCAGATCCATATACATTATATGCGATCTCTCTCTCTCTTCCCCCTTTCTTTTTCTCTCACCCACATAATATCACGGCTTATCATCATCCACATTTTTCGTGACAGGTATGTTTATCTTAGAGATTGTTTGTTTATATCATCGTCTAGCATTTCTACGTTTTGTTAGTAATCTTGAAGTTGATGAAGTTGGTTTTTCTGATATTAAGTTTGAGACCTCCCAGGTTTGGGCATTGAAACCACATGGAATTTGGGGGAGATTAAGAGGGAAAAGGGTTTTTATGTACTGTCTTTTTGGATTATATGGTGGGAGATTCTTGAGGGATTGTTGGATATTTGAATGATCAGTTCCGTTAAATTATTTGGGGGGAGTCATGAATAAATATAATGACGGTGAATTGGAGAGGGCTAATCTATACGAGTGGTTTTTTTGGCAGTTATTTCCTTCCTGTACTTAATCCATGTTCTTTGCCCTTAAATATAATTTGAAACTCTATATTCCTCATGATTCTCTTGCAGTTTGCAGTGTAGAGAAAGCAGGTTATCAGGATAAACAAATTATTTCATTACGAAGAGGCTAATACTATATATGTACATTGTGGGCCATGAGATTATCTTTATAATCAAAACCTTATACAAGATTTACTTAGAAAACATGACAAATTTTTTCATCTTCAAGTTGGAGCATATATGTTAGAAAATAGAAATGGCTAACTTGTCACTCACAGGGCTAATCTGTGAATTGGTGTAGCGGCTTTGGCAGTACATTGACAACCTGATAGTAGAGCCAACCCGCACTTGCTCTGTAGGTGTACGCTCATGAGTAGTTATGACCTACTTTGTATGTAACAAAGTGAAAGTTGACTGCTATATGCTTTGTTCTTGCATGAATATATAGTCGACTCATCGTCACAGTACATTTCCATCAACCCTCATGAGAAATTCTTTAATTCTTGTGTCAAGCGCCTTACCCACGCTAGCTCTCAAGTCGTATGTGCCATGGTTCGGTATTCAAATTCAACACTTGATAAGGTGACTATGTCCTGTTTCCAATGTCTTGAAGTTAATCTTCTACTATATGGATACTCCATGTGGTTGGCATTGGAGTATTCAATAATTCCTCTATGCACCTATTTGCGTAGAGGAGTCCCTTTGCCTGTATAGTTTTGAGGTATGTCAGTGTATGTAAAATTATATTGCAGCAAGTCATTTTAGGAGAGTACATGAACCGGCTTATTACATTGAACACAATGTCTGGTCTCATGCTTTGAGATGGTTCAGTTTTCCCGTTTGTCTTTCTATTTCGTCCTCCACCTCTACAGTGTCTCCCATTACCACACTCCTATGACATTTCACCAAGCCTTTGTACTTTTACTTACTTTTGGTCTTTCTGAGAACTTTACAGTTCTAGATGTCATTATATCGAGTATTGTGGGCTGTGAGCTAAGAGAATTGTAACTCTAAATTTGTTAAAATAATTATAAACATTCATGACTAATGCAGCCCTATATCTGACTTGAATGAACACTCCTCACAAGTTATTTGTTTTTTTCCAAATGTTTTCTCCGATTATCTCGTCATACAAAAATTCAGTGGTATAAGACGAGTTCTAATAATATTATGATAGTTTAACAACTACAAGCAAATACGGTCCAGAGTAAGGGCCAGATGAGCAGGCATCAGAAGGCATAAACTTGAGATAGAAGGGTCTTCATCTTTTCTGAATTTTGGTTATATGTGCATGCTACTTTGGTTTGCTTAAGGACTTGAATACACACCAAAAGCTCAATCATAACTATGCAAATCCTGAAATGCTTTATACTAAAATCAACATATTTTGGATGCTTTTTTTACAAGACATTGCTGAGAGGGAAAGATGATATGGCCAACCATCTTTCTTGGCCTTACGTTGCAAGTCCTTTTGGTATTTGGTGCTCGTTATCCAAAGAATCTCCACATATGGCCAATGCCTGAATCAGTAGAATACGGCAACAAAACTATTTTTTTAAGCAAGGACTTTCAACTCAAGACCGATGGAAGCAAATATGCAGATGCATCTGGGATCCTGAAGGATGGATTCACTAGGTTACTTGATGTTATCACAGCAAGCAATGTTATTGAATCCAACTTTTCCAAAGTTGACGAGTCTGTCCTTTTACAGGGAGTCCATGTGATTGTCCTTTCGAAAGATGATGAGGTATTGCCATTATGTATTTCTATCTCTTATTGTGTAATGTTTGTGTACTTGCTTGCTTTCTCATACTTTTCAGAAGGTGGCTGGTATAAGTGTTTTAAGTTCTTAATCTTCATGAAGTTCTTTTGTTGTGGCACAATGGTCTTACATGTAGACTCAACAAAACATTTTGTTTACTAACTGAATGCGAAACATTTTAAATAAATGTGTTGGAAAGGACCGTCTTCAGAAAAATTCATGTTTTTTACATGTCACCTATTGATTTTAGTAATCATGTAGGATTCCCCACTTGAAATTTGACTGGAATAAAAATAAATGAGGTTGTAATAGAACTTTCAATTCATTGAAGTATCAGCTATCAAGTTTCTACTTCGGATCCTAGTTTGGTAGACAGTGAAGAAACTATGTAGCGGTTTGAATGAAGTTTGATGATATCTTTATCAGTTACTGAATTTCCTCATTTTTTTAATCACGGGACTGAGAAATGTAAATAACTTCTCCACTTCTAATACATCATTACCTCTTGTCCTCACAAAATAACGCATTCTAGTAGGTTCCATTGTATCTATTCTGACATGTTATCCGTCTTGCATAGCTTGTAAATTTTTGACTTTCTTCTTGATGCTACTTTTGGTTACTGACATAATTCTTTCTTCGCAGCTGCAATACGGTGTAGATGAGTCCTATGAGCTATCTATTCATCCAAAGGGAAAGCCAATTTATGCAAATATCAAGGTTGGTATAAATGACAGTTTGACCAAGTTGGAACTTCTAGTATAGGTTACATATGACAAAGTTTACCCCCAATATATCTTTACTCTCTCTCACTGTTGCAGCAACCATTTTTGTTTCTTATTTTCACACATCTTAAAGTTGTGTGTTGGTAAAGAGCAAGGATTTCCCTCGAAATGATTTGAAAAGTTCAAAAGCTTCACTGGTCAAGTATGGCATAAGTTTTAGCAGTGCTTATGGAAATATGAGTGCAAAAAATTGGTCACTTGTTGAGATCTTTGAGCCTTATTGACAATTGATTGTCCACAATAACATGGAGAAAATCAGGGACTTGGATTGTAAATGGCATCTGAATGATTTACGTTGTTTCTATTTAGGAACATTCTTCAAGAAATATGAGGTTGACTTAATCTTGCGTCTTCACTTGGTACATATGATTTTCTTATGGTTTAATGGGCTTGTCCTTTGGAATGGAGGCAGTACTGACTGTTGACTTTCTTTCTCTTTGACCATTTTTGCTTAATCCCGATAATCTTTCTGCAGTCCTGGTAATTAAACAGAGTTGCATGTTAAGCTGTTGCTTTACAAAGTCGAATATATTGACTCAGTTAATGCCACCCTAAGCCACAAAATGCAGAATACGCCTTAATCGTTGAATAGAAGCAACCACAACATAATCATCTTCGCTGTAGTATGATAAAACTCTAAAATGAGTAATGTTGCATGATTAGGGGAGACTCTCAGCAGCCTTGGAATCCTGAAATTGATATTAGATGCTCTGGGTTTGGTCATATAACCTCCAAGACAGGAAATAAAGGTATCCACCCAGTAGGGAATCCTCTAATAGCAAACTCTGCCAAAAGCATAGTAACCCGCTACAATGATCATGGGTTTGGTTAAAACAGGCTTTCTCTGGAAAAGGCCATCAAGGACCCATTTTATCCTGTCTGATAGCATGTGGCCTTGAATGAACTTGTGATATTTAATAGGTCGGTGCACACATAATAGAAAGTATGTGAGAGTTTTATAAGAGGGGGGAGGAGTGAACCCATACCATTTTGTAGGGGTAATTTCCTTTTTTCTGTTTTGTAATTCGCCTCAAAATGGCAAAATAATGCAGACTAGATATTGAGCCTTTTTCATGCTTGGGTATATTTATCTATATCAAGTTTTTTAATTGGATAACTCTCAATGCAGGCAGCTACAGTTTATGGGGCTCTACATGCGCTGCAGGTTACTTGTTATGTTTCATGCTTCTAGAATATTTTTCAATGTCCCAAAAGGTCTAAATGGTCTTGCTTTATAATTCTTTTAATAAAACTATGACAGACATTCAGCCAATTGTGCCATTTTAACCTTAAAAGAAGAAAGCTTGAAGTTAGTCAGATACCATGGACCATTACAGATCGACCCCGTTTTGCATTTCGAGGGCTCTTAATCGGTGAGATGTTTCTTTCTACTTTTCTCTTGCTAATTAATGCTATGTTCTTGTTGGTTTGTAAGATATATTCAGTGAGTATTTTTGTATTAAATGGTTGTGAAGTGGAGTTCTCGATGCATTCTCCAGTGGCATGTCCCAAGGACGCCAGCTTTTAGCTTTATAATTTTCATTACATCTATTCAGCAAAGTATACTTTTGATCTTACTTTGTGGAACGTAATTACTTAATCTTGCAACCCTCAAGTTTCACCAAGGACAAGTTCAAATTTCTCACAAACCGCCAATTATTTATTCAAATAGTTAGCATTAAGGAATTATCGAGTAAACACACACACACAGACACACATTGTGAATCTGGAAGCTTCTTGGCCATATGTAGCAAGTTTTCAAAGATAATTCCATTTCATGTCTTAATCGTGAAAAATGTTCTATGATAAAGAAGAGACTGCTCATGAGGTTGTCACATAACCTTCGGTTGCATTATGCACACTTAATTGATAGCACATGCATTATATGCTCAGAATTGATTACGTTATGTGATTATAGAAGTACAAAGTTAACCATGCTGGTGGCTTAATGTACTCAAAAGAAATTCGTTAGCAAGTCTTATTTTTATTGAGATGCCTAACATTTAATATCAGAACTCAAGTCCATTTGACCACAATTGCTTCAAACTATAAATAGAGGTTGTTATACACACATTCTGTGGTTTCCTTCTCGTAGACTTAGTGATTGTGTAATAGCATTTCAATCTTAATGTTCATTTAGTAGAACTGTTCATCATGATTAGCCTAAGAGTTGGGTCTGCTCTTTACAATTGTTTGGACAGGAGACTAACTTCCATGCTATCATAGCCAATCTAATTAAAGTGAAGCTCTGCAACTAGTTCAAGCTACAGTTTATTGGAAGACACCACAGATGTCAATAATAATATAGAATTTAAGTCCATGTGACCACACCTGCTTCAAACTATAAATATAATTTCTTATACGTACATTCCATGTTTTTCTTAACCCCCAGACTGAGGTTGTGTGATAGTATTCAAGTCTTGGTGTTCATTGAATACAACTGTAAGACTAGCCTCAAGAGTTGTATCTGCTCTTTACAAATGTATAATGGCAGGATAATACTTCCATGTTGTAGCTAGTCTATGCCTCAGATATTTCCCTTTAGGTTAGTCTACTGGTCAACCAAAGAAATTGGGTTTGTTGTTGCTTTGATATATATATATATATATATATATATATATATCATATGATGTATTACACGAAAATTTAAACATATGTTGCATTCTTTTTGGTTCACTGTGATAAATATCGCTTCAATGTCTGTGATATTTTGAATGTTGTTGCATTCTTTTTGGAGTTGCAGTATCCACTTTACATGCTGGGACAGTGCATTATCATAAAGTCATATTATTTTCTGGTATTCTTTTTGTTTACTCATACAATTATACTGAGTTTTTAGTGTCAATGGTGTGCAGATACATCCCGACATTATCAGCCATTGCCAATGATAAAGAAAGTTATTGATTCAATGGCTTATGCAAAACTGGTAAGTCTTAACTTGGTGCTTACCCGTTACTACTCTAAAATGCTATATTTATAATGATCGACTTGGCCACTATTGTGTGTCATTAAATATTTCAAATTTAACCATGATTAAACCAAGTACAAGATAAACATGGCTCATCTCCACTTGGAACTGACAGCAGACAACAAAAGCTGCAATGACAATGGTTGATGGAGGTGGACTTATTAGCTTCATCAGTCAAACATCAAAAGCAGTAGCGAATTGAACAACAGCATGCAGCATGTTAGTCAAAATAAATCAAATCTATGTAGGCAAGTTTGTATGTGATAAAAAACCAAACAATCAAACCAAACGAATCCCGTATATTCCACACAGAGATAGGGTCTGAGGAGGGCAGGATGAATGCAGACCTTACCTCTACCCCAAGGGGTAGATAGGTTGATTCCATGAAGACCTCTTGCTTGCAAAACAAAAAAATAACAGGTAGAAGCAACTTTGGTGTCTTATTTTAGCAGGAACTTGGGTCTAGAATGATCTTAAGTTCTTTAAGTCTAAATTCTAACATGTTTAACTTTGTTAGAGATATGGGAATGGGAATAATTGTACCGATATTAATATATAATTTTCGAAGAGCAGATTTGTACGTTGGGTTAAAGCTTGAGGAATAGAGTTTAAAATGGGCCAATAGGTTGAAAGTATAGAACCCACACAAATCTAAATGGCAATACCACATAAATGCATATCAAGCCTGTATCTCGCATACTCCTCCCAAAGTTGCAGCATGTATGTTGCGTGCTCGACTTGTTTTATTTCAGAATGGACCCGAGTCCTAGAAAGGGCTACATTGACTTTGTATGTAGCAAGTTGGGCATGCTAACATCTATAATCCAGCTTGAGGAGTGTAATATGTTTCATCAATTCACGCTTACCGGCCCAATGATGTACTACATATTCAAGATTTGTACCTCAGTAATGATGCAATTCATTCTACCCAAAGTAATATCCATAATTCAATCCGTATTGGGATAAAAATTTACTTGAGTTGATTTCAACTACATCTGATCATGAGTTAATTTTGTTCTCCCTGAATTAGAAGGAGGTTATTGACACAAAAAAGTTTGATTATTTGAAAAAAAAAGATGTATTTATGACGACTTTATTGATTCAATGCAGAATGTTTTGCACTGGCACATTGTAGATACACAGTCTTTTCCTTTGGAGATACCTTCATATCCAAAACTGTGGGATGGTGCTTATTCCTTATCAGAACGCTATACTGTGGCTGTTGCAGCTGATATTGTGAAGCAAGTGAAAGTTTCTTTTGTTTTACATAATTGGAAGGATCTATTTTCTAATATTGCTTTTATTTACTGTCACATTTTGCAGTTATGCTCAAAGAAGGGGGATTAATGTGCTTGCCGAGCTTGATGTTCCTGGACATGCTAAATCATGGTAGCCCTGATATATATATATAGGCAGGATCAAACGAGAATGGTACCTAAAAAGAACACGAAAACGGGCAAATCACGTGCAAAATTACATATGATTTTACATTAATAGTAAAAAAAAAAAGTGTCCGAGGGACTTGTGGCTGCGTCTTCAGGTCCCGGGCAAGGTCGCCTGAATCACATGTGATTTTGTATGTGATTTTAGTGTAAAATCACATGTGATTCGCCTGTTTTCGTGTTCTGTTAAATAGGTACCGTTCTCGTTTGATCCCCTCTCTCTCTCTCTATATATATTTATATATATATTCTCACCTTTTTTATGTTCTTTATTATTATTATTATTATTATTATTATTATTATTATTATTTCTTCTTTATCTTTAAGAAAGAAGGTTCCATTATGATTATAATAATTAACACGTAATCCAAACACCTTAAGAACCACTTATGACAGGAAAATCAAAATGTTTCGAGACGAAAATTGGAAATTGGTATATGGTATAACAACTTACCGATATCTCCTAAAAGTTCATTTATTGGAACAAAGAGAAAAGAAAGAAACATGGAAAACAAAAAAGTGTAAAAGGATGTCTTCAACTACTGCAGATTTGCCCTGTTTAATTCATTCTTGAACATAACAGTTAGTCAGATATCTTCTTGTTTGATCTTCATATCTCTTGTATTCCTGGTTTGAGTTTCTTGGCATGTCTTTCTAGGGCATCCTTCTGTTTACGCTTGAGAAGATTTTGAGCAAACTTATTTTGGTGATGTTAACATGAGGAGTATACATGATATTAGAAAACTTCGGATGAAAAAATCTTCATAGAAATTTTATTGATTGGAGGCGGAGGATGGTAGTTTTCTTATGTAGGCTTTGTAACAGCAGAAAAAAACGTTGCTGTTATTATGAGTTGTATGAGTACCTGTTAGGCTCTGATACCATGAATACTAGAAAAGATGTATCCATTAGTAATCGGGAAAAAAATTCCTCTATATAGGGTACATGATGAGCCATTTAGCTAAAGTAGGTAAATATGAAGACAAAGATAAGGGATAAAGTAGATGAAGTCCAACAGCTAGATAAACCATTTGTGGCCAGTGAAACTCTCCCCTATCGCTTAGTCAACATATTGGGACATAGTTAGTACAGGAAGCATGTAAGGCTTTCTCCTTGAACATACCTACCTAACATGGGCAGGAAAAAGGAATACAAGCCAAGTTCATCTATCAATTTACCATATGGGGACCAAAATCTTTGTGATATACAGGATAAGTACATCACTGAAATTTACTTTTATGATGATCTGGTGTTTCGGAATTGGTTGTTCTGAATGGATTTGGTCAGTTTGTCTATGGCTCCTGCAAATGATGCGGATAGGACCATAAATAGCCACTCGTCATGTGAATTTGAATGGTTGGTCAAATTGCAGAAGGATCTAGAAACTTTCCCATGCTGGTGTGGTCCCTATAACTCGTAGATTGAGAATCTGAGCTAAATTATCTGCACATTCATACAAATATAGGCAACATGTTGAGTATCGTAAAAGTTGATGAACCTAACATTTATCATCCTTAGGGGGATGGGCTATCCTTCGTTATGGCCATCAAAGGATTGTCAGGAGCCACTTGATATCAGCAATGCTTTTACGTTCAAATTGATAGACGGGGTTCTTTCAGGTGCATCCAGACGCCTCAATTTAAGCTGTATCTCTAATTGACACTAACGTATAAGGCAGCAGGACAACTAATTGTTTGAAAACTCTTCTTCTTGTTTCAGATTTCAGTAAGATCTTTAAATACAAGTTTGTTCATTTGGGAGGTGATGAGGTCGACACCAGTAAGTTACTAATTTCCATAAATTTCTATGTTGCATCCTATGGACTGACCCCTCTCATTCATAATTTTATGCAGCATTAAAAATTGAATTCCAATATTGGGATATATTATCCCTAGATTTGGTTTTCGTTCATTGAACTAGTTTCTTATGAAGGATTTCAAACCTGAACTACTTGAAATGTGTCACGTAGAAAAGCACTTCCTTCTGGGAGTAGAACTTCAAATTTTGGTAGACACTGGGTAACGATATATTTCATGGGCAACATCTTTCACCTCTAATAAGCCTTTCCCCCACCAGTTGTCACCCTTGGGTAATTCACTAGACAGTACACAAGTGTGAGATTCAAATTAAAAACCTCTATGTTATCTGATAAGTTCCAACCAAAAGGCCCATCTGGGTGACAGGAATCATAATCCCAAGAGCTAAATATACCCACTCAAGTTGGTAATGATGCATGCATAAATCCTGATTCATGTCAAATAACGAGTTCATAATTAAATAATTAATCGATCCTACAACACTGCCTTTGACTCGTGTACGTTGTGATTTTAGAACCTTAACATTCTTGATGGTAATTTTTGTAGCCTGGCTCAGTTTCCAGTTTTTAAGAAACATGCATGGATGCTTATTGAGATTATGTAGTTTGGTCTTCTCTATGAAGAGGTAGTTATGTCACTTCGTCACGTACATGTTTATAAAAGTGAAAATAAATATGATCTAAACGAATTTGTAATCTTGCACTTAATCTTCGCTTGCATCCTATAAATTTCTTTTGTGTTCATAACTAGGTAAGCTGACAAAAGATCATGTACCTGTACCTTACAACACTATATGTTTTATAGGAATGTAATGACTTTACTTCTGCTATAACTAATAACTGTCGAAGTTTAACCTGTCAGGTTGCTGGAGCTCCACTCCTCATATAAAAGAATGGTAACTATTCAACAATCTCTCTTAACATTCTATACCATTTGAAGTTATTATCATTTTTTCTGCCTGTGATAAATTTGGAAACAGTGCTATGCCATGAAAGATGAGGCTTAGGTAAAGTTTTTGGGTGCTGTTATCCTAGTGAGTGTCTTCACCAGATGAAAGAGAACCCTAATTGAGAAAAGTTTCCTGTGTCGCGACTAATTCGAGAGAAAAGTATTGACACTCCTTTCGTTTGGTGCTTCAGAAAGCCAAAAGCCAATTGACTTCTCATATTTCAATGCATGTCAAGGCAATTGTGGAAGGTAAGAAGTGTATGTTATGGTGATAACTACACACCAGAAAAAACTTTCTAACAAAAGGAAAGTGGAAATTCCAAAGTTCAATTTGCTTCAAAGGTTCATGGTAGGTTGATTATTACAATCCATATCTGCAAAACTTGATGAATCCTTTAATACTTTTTCTCAAATGACAAACTTGTACCAATTCACAAGTTGTTGTGTCCATAGCTAGATACGCAAGGAAACCACGTCTTGTGTATTGCTTTTCCATGAAATAAGGTTTCCTCCAAAGCAAATACAATACCTTGGGATCAGACCTTCTACTCTTTGGACATTTGTATCTGAATTCTAGAGATCCAAGTATGGTTGTGATCAGTGTAAACGAGACCATTGCCATGAGCTCTCTTGAGATACCTCAAAACATGCAAACTTCCCCATGACTCCGACGAGTAAAGGCATGAACTGACACCATACTGAAAACGCAATATCTGGTCTCATGAGTAGTCACACATAGTTCAGTTTTCCTACCAATTTCTTATATCTTACTAGAGCGTCAAGAAGTTTCCATCATCTGGTAAAAATCAATGTTAGGAATCAATCGCCATTGAGCATGGTGATCTCTACTAGGGTGTCACGGAAATGTTTCCTTTGGTACAAGAACATGCCACTCTGAGGTCTAGTTACCTCAATGCCTAGGAAGTATTTGAGACTTCCTAGAATGCTTCTTTTGAAATTCTTTTTGGATGAAGAACTTCAGAGTTCCCATTCTTTCTACTTCAACACCTATGATCACAATATGTTGTCAACATAAAGATACCACTACAACCCTTTTGCCCTTATGATGTTGAAAGAAGTCCGAGTAAGCATATGTGCTTCAAGCAATTGAAGAGCCTGAAAGATCTGATCCGTGAGCCTTTTTCAGCCCTCAAAGAGATCTCTTTAGTCGACATGCATGTGGTGACTCCTCTTAAACAACAAGCCTCGGAGGTTGTTGCATGTAAACCTCCTCCTCAATAACTACATTCTTGATATCCAACTGATGTAGTGACCAGTAATAAATTACTCTACCTGTGCCATGCTGAGATGAAAAGATGCCATCTTGGTCAATGTTTTTCTTGAAAAGTGCGTGATATATCAATTAGGCAAACAAAGGGTAAATAGTGTATGCAGGTGGGCCATGGACTGATATAAATGAAACCCTACCTAGAGAAATTACTTAAATTTAATGACATAGTTAGCATGCATTATTATTCTAATACGAGCCAAGTGTTTTACAATGTTGATTCTGAGGCCAGGGATGGGGTATTGACAAGTAAGAATCACTGCTGGAGATGAGGCAAAGACGACTTGTTTAGCAAGCCATGGATCCTATGAGTTTCTTATTATGATGTTTGGTATGATAAATCGACCTACCCACATTTTGTGGTAGTATGAATCATGCATTTTATGTGTATGTGGACGGATTTGTTGTTAGATACCCGATATCGGGATATATAGTGAAGCTTTAGATGGTCAAAAGTTATGAGAATGGCAGTTTTATGCCAAGAAAGACAAACGCAAGTTCTTGAGGGCAAAAGGCATCTTCATTGGGCATAAGATGAACAAAGGGTGTGAATGGATGGAAGAGAGAAAGAACTGTTGTTTAATGGCCTATCCAAAGTCAGTGATTGGAGATTATTTTTTAGATTGATAATTATCATGGAAAGTTCATCAGCACTTCCCTTTTTTGTGCACTTGTTTAAGAAGGGTCATATTTTACATGTCAAAGAGGGATGTGTCATTGGTGCTACACAAGTCTTTCAGATTTTGCGATCCCTTTTTAAGTGCATGCTGATGCATCAACTAAGGCTATTGGTGGCATGCTTGGGTTAGAAAACTTTCCAGTTGCTTTGGGATCCAAAAGCTGAAGGATCTTGAGCTGCCAACCAAGTCCTGAGAAGCAGATGACAGCATTTAGGCATTCCCTGCCGACATGGAAACATTATTGCTTCCAGACGAAATTTGTGGTGGTGATTTGATATTGCCAACAACTATTTTTAGACCCAAAAGAAGCTGACCCTGAAGCAGCTCAGTTTGCAGGTCCACAACACAGTTGCTTGAGGAGGATACACGCAATGGAAAAGACAGCATGTCAAAAGAAGTATACAGGTTGCCTGAATTAATTGTGGGATGCAACTTTTCGTTGAAGTTGACTCTATAGGTTTTAAAGTAGATCAACAATGAGATGGCACATTGGTATTTGATTTGAATGTATGATAAGCCCTTTAAGTTAATAGCTAAAAAGTATGTTCTTGTACTTGATAAATTTACATATCACATTTGTTTATTTAAATACATTTAACTCTTGTGATAATGAAACTACAAACGAAAGATATTTAAACCAACCTTCTATATTGCAGGTTAAAACAGCAAGGTCTAAACGCATCTCAAGCATACGAGTACTTTGTCTTGAATGCACAGAAGATAGCTTTGTCTCATGGTTATGAAATTATAAACTGGTGTGTCTTTCACTCCTTACAGCTTGGTTTTTCATTGAAGTGATAGACAAAGTTACATCCCAGTTTTGCTAATTCCTTTTTACAGGGAGGAAACCTTCAACAACTTTGGTAGTAAATTGGACAAGAAAACAGTGGTCCATAACTGGTATGTGCTTATAAACTTACATTTTAAGTTTAATGGAATGGAATGGATTTGGGGGGATTTGGATTTCAAATCCATTCGAATCCCATGTTTGGTTTGTTGGATAGTCTGGATTTGAAATCCTACAAACATAGGATTTTGAAATCATTAGGGGGTGCTCGGGATTTCACGGGATTTCGTAGGATTGTATGCAATAAGGTTTTAAAAAATGTTAAAAACATTTGTTTTGTAATAATCGATTAATAAAAATGTAACTTAATTATTTTTATGGTTTTTTATAAAGTATTTAATAATAATGGAATCCAATTCCATTCCAAATTCTACAAACCAAACACACCAATGATTTCAAATCCATTCCAATCCAATTCCCTCAATGAAATCCAATCCCTCAAAAACAATCTTGCAAATCAAACGGACCCTTACGTCACAATTTAGTTAACTCTACAGCCAAAAAAATTCATATCAATTTCCTAGTTACCATTCTTTTGGGCCATATTCAGGATCTCAGCCTTTTCAATTTTGTTTGAGGGGACAGGAAAACATGATTGTGGGTCCCAGTAACTTGATATGCGGAGAATTGGGAGAAGGCCCACTAAAGGGAGAATGGAGGAAAATAGTGTAAACGAACAGGGATAAGATTTTTGACACTTAAAAGGCCAAATGTGGACTCTTTCTGTGAGATGAAGAGAGTTTCTAACGTCACCTGCAAATTAAGATACATTGATGCAGATGCCAACATATTGACCTTGGTAAACTGTAACCAGAAATAACAATGTTCCCGAATGAGATTTATTCTGAGATGTCATCTTTCTTCGAGAAACGAGAGTCCAGTAACATGCTTATAGTTGACTCATACAACCATCACATATTTCAATTATCCAATCAAAGGAAAGTAGCATTTTTGAACTATTATTCCTTTGGGGTGTGTTGCAATACATCTCTGTTACCTTTATGTTATACTTAAGCTATTGTTTTCCTTCGATCTATAAATAGGCTTGGGAGTGGTGTTGCTGAGCGAGTTGTTGCAGCTGGATTGAGGTGCATCGTAAGCAACCAAGATGCATGGTATCTGGATCACTTGTCTACTACATGGCAAGAGTTTTATACGAATGAGCCCCTTACAAATATTACAAACCCCACGCAACAGAAACTAGTTATTGGTGGTGAAGTATGCATGTGGGGCGAACATATTGATGGGTCTGACATTGAACAGACCATATGGCCACGTGCCGCGGCAGCTGCAGGTACTTGATTTTATTTCACATAACAATTCATCTGTTCTGGGATAAGTTATGAATAGAGTACTCAAATGGCGATTCAATAAGCTCCATGGTTACTTTCGACTTCTTTTTCTTCCAGTTTTGCCCCTTCATCTTGCTCAAAATACCTAGCTGTTTTCATTATCAGCCAGTTTTTACCAAAGGTGACTAGCTTATTGGCAAATTTACAACCAACTTATCTAATAGCTGATGCTGATAACACATGTAGCAGAAAGTAATCATGATTTATGGGATTTGAATGATATATGAGTGTGATTAGTGTGCAGTGAGGTAAAGCCTCGACATGAAATTTGTAGGCAGGTTGTCCCTAAGGAGCACGAGAATATATTTGGATCCTCTTTGAAATAGGAATATGAAAAGATTCTAAATGCTCAAAAAATCCTATGCTGTTGATACCATATGAAAAATGTATCATGTGAATATATGGATTTAAACGCCTGCAGTCATCCTCTTTTATGATCATCATCCCTTTTAAGATGGATGATTATTGTGGTAGTTGTCCCAATCATCCAATAAGATGGATTTCATGTAAATCAATGATCCATGGAACTATTACATACTTGTATTTCCATAAAAACAATGACATACTTGGATTTCCACAAAATATTAACATTGGCTTTCTTGTTTTCAAGTCCTTCTATTTCAAAAGTTATTCTCATGTTCTTTTTCCGCAAATTTTTTGAAGAATCTTCATCCTTCCAGTGAGATATACTGAGCTTGTTTGGTTTGGTTGGTTTAACTATAAATTTGGAAAATACATGTTTGACATTTAAAGACAACGAGCGGAGAATGAAATGTATAAATTTGGAAAAAATGAGGGTCAGCTCAAAATGCAAATAAAGGCTAGGCCTTGTCTTAACTCACCCGTCCAAGCCTTCTCAAGGCCATTGAAGATTTTCCTGACTGTTACCTTTAGTGCTACATGAGATTAGTTGAGGTGTATGCAAGCTGACCCCAAAAAAATGAGTACACACTATTCCTACATATGTTCTGATCCCCTACTTGCAAATGATCTTTTATTAACATTTCGTTCATCTTTTTTTTTTCTTTGATTAAAGAGAGATTGTGGACGCATCCTGACAAGCTTGCCAAAACCCCGAAGGATGTCACCTCAAGGTTATCGCACTTTAGGTGCTTGCTAAATCAAAGAGGAGTTGCAGCTGCTCCATTGGATGGGCCAGGTCGTGTTGCACCAATAGAGCCCGGATCCTGCTATACTCAGTAGTTGGATGATCACCATTTCTTTCGAGGACTGCAAATAAAAATGGTAAGTCCTGCCGATAAAATCTGGTAAATTTGAGTTATAGACTTTGAAAGAGAGTCATGTGTTAAACCTATCAGCTGATCATATGAATGAAATTATAATCAATATTTATTGTTTTATGTCGATTTATGATGGAATTTCTGGTCATGAATTGGAGCAAATGCTACAACTCGCTGCTTATGGTCTCTCTCTTGTTATGTATATGGTACATAACAGTTTCTTTCATTTATATGAGAGTAAATTAAGTTTTTAGTCCTTGTGATTTGATGTTTTTAACACATTCCGTCCTCTTTTTGAAACATTAACGAGTTGGATCCCTTTGGTTGTATTTTTTTTTTTTAACGTAAAACATGCTCAAAAATTTCCTAACTCTTTGGTCAACATCTTGTTCTCTTGGTCTGGTATGAGACAGAGCTCATTATCCGGCTTAGATAGGTTTTCACCCACACCATCGGCCTAATCCTTATGTGCACACCTTTGGCTCCTTTGAGTGATTATTGGTGGTCCGAAATACGCATAGAAAGATCATTTTATTCATGACGCTTTACAAACATATTTAATAACATTTACCAAGACAATAATTATAAATAGGTAACACATACAACATGAACAAGTCATTTGAAATACTAAAGACAGTTAAATTGATTATTCTGCAAAAATATTTGACACTGCCATCTAGAACATCTTTACCGTATCAATTTTGCGCTCATCACGAGGTAAGTGGTTCTTGAAGTCGAACCCTATTCCTCCCACAATCCCACTTAATTACTTATCCTTGAGGATATCCACCTCCTTTCTTGTTAGAGTAAAGTTACGAGAACTATATCGATCTTTAATGAATATGTTTTTCATACATAAAACATGCATCCTGTTTTGAATTTTCCTAGAACTCACATGAGTGCATATTCTCACCAATCTTGCTTGCAAGACAACCTACATAAGTAAGACATATCATGGTAACTAATTGTCTAACTCAATGGTTAGTCTTTACTTGTGACCTGACTAGAGGTGAACATTGAACGAGACAACTAGTCACCATAATAGATTTTATTGTTTCATGCTACATAAAACCGGTCTAATAAAAAATTAAGATTTTAAGAATTATATAGACATAAAAAGATCAAACCATGAACTTGTATCATCACACCACCTTCACATGGGGAAAATCTGTCATTACCCATTCCTTATTCCTTTCATATCCCTTGAGATTTGAAGTTTCATTTCCACTACCATTTAATTTAAATATGCACCTCGTATATATTTACGTAATCATCCTCCTATATTTATATAATTACGTATTGACCCTCTATCTTTATACGTGTCGGAATTTGATTACAAGTAAACATGGATGGGTAAACAAGTGATTTTTATTTATTACATGACCACCTTAAACCTTTTTTTAATTAAAGATGACATATATGAGTCTTGAAGACGTAGAGTAGACTTCCAAGGGTTATATATAACAGACACTGTAGATGGGGAGAGAGGTAAAAAGTCGACATATATATATATATATATGATAATAGTGACCTAACAGGTATGGCTGAAGTAATGGGACCAGGTCATAGTTCTTCGTTAGTGGTTTAATGTTTTAATATATTTTTTCTTGCATATGTCCTTACAAGTTATTAGTACCAAGAAATTAAAACCATAATCAATTTGTAAAATCCAAAAATTATAAGTAAGAAATATAAAAAAAACTGAATCAAAAATTAGAATCCAAAGCCATAAATTAAACCAAATCTAAATCCTAATCAAGAAAATAATCAAACCCTAAACTATAAATAAAAATAAAACTAAAACTATTACAAACTCTGTTCTCCTGTTTCTAAAACCCTAAATTTTACAAACTATTAATAATATCTATATAGAGAAGGTTTAATTTACAAACCATGTTATTTGTACAAACCGTACAAACCTCATTTAACCAATCATAATTTTTTATTTTGTTCATTTTTTGTAATTATGAGAGGTTGATTAATCATTTTTATTATGGAGGGTGTTAATCATGGATATTATCATCTTCATTATTTTAATTTTAGAAAAATACATGAAACAGTTTCATTAAGTATTATATGAAACAATTTCATAACCATATATGAAACAACTTCATAAAAAAAAGTATTATATGAAACAATTTCATAAGATTAAACAATTTCATTAAAATTTCATAAGATTAAACAATAAAATCGACGGATGAGGATGGTTTGCACGGTTTATACAAATTGGGTGGTTTGCATCTGATCGCTCCTCTCTCTCCCCCCCCTCTCTCTCTCTCTCTCTATATATATATATATATACACACACACACACACACAAAAACTATAATAATATATAGAGTGGGTTCAATTGAAAACAGTGTTTCCGTTGTGAACTCGGGGACAACAGAGAGCGCGACACGTGTCTCTTGCTTTCACTGGTTATTCATCATGAATAATGTATCATTGACGTTGAATATGTATTATTTATCATGCATAATGAATCAATTTAGCATGGATCTTGATCATGTGTTATTCACCATTAATGTTTTATTATTCATCCTAATGTTGTATCATTTATCATAAATAATTTATGAACTTCATCTTCGTTCTTCATATTGAATGTGGATGCGGAGACACGTGTTGCTCTCCTTTATCCCCTATTCACAGTCGAAAATCGATTTTCAATTGAAAGTTTTTCTTTATCTCTATCCAGGGGAGGATGTAATGGTTTAAAGGAGGGGGGAAGGGACCCCGGTCAAAAACTCAAAAACAAAAATTTATAGGTTAAAATTTAGGTTTTACATGACCTTTCACTTCCCCCATTACATTTTTCCGTGGGCCCCCAACCCCAATAAAACTGTTACTCTAACAAAAAAATCTATTAAAATCAATCAAAAAACCCAAAAAAGTTATTCGAAATCGACAAAAACACTAAAAAATCCTTCGAAATCAACAAAAAAAACTTTAAAATTCCCTCGAAAACGTTGTAATTAGGTTAAAAACACATCGGATGATTTTGCAGGTTTTTAGTCTACCTTAAAGATGACCCCTCTAAACAAAAATCATGGACACTGTAGCTATCTATATAAGTTTTCCTGTAGAATCTTGCAATTTATTGCTAACACACACACGTATACATGCAATTTTAATAGAATTTCTTGTGGATTAATTAAACAACTTAAAAAAGAAATAATATAAATATAAAGCATAATTAATATATAAATGGTTGAAAATAATACAAGTATATGGGTACTATTACGTGTGATGGATTCCAATTCATAATTGAAGAAGAAGCTTCAAGACGGATCAATGGGTGTTCTCCGATCATCACTACCAGCACTTCCGGCAGCCCTATGTTGCTGATATTGCATGTGTTGCCCAACACCGTCATAACTACATTTCACATCAAAACCCCTTATCGCCGCCGTGTGGGGAAAGAACTCTGCATGCTGCTGGTACAGCCGCTCTTCACTGATCACCTCATCACCACCACCAATCAAGTTGATCATCCCCATGTCATGATGGTGGTGGTGGTGGTTGGTGGCAGCAGCCGCCGGAGAAATCAGTACTCCATGAGTAGATGCGTCATTCATATGGCACAAGTGGTGGTTCTGGTACTTGGATAGCTCGGATTTGGCGGAGGTTAGATCCATCTGAAGCTGCCGGAGTTGGTGTTGGAGGAGAGAGATAACTCCGACACACCCATAAACCGGATCCCGGAGTCGCATATCGGCTTCATAAGCCAGTGTGTTCACGGCATCTTCCCGTTGGTGAGGGTGCAGCTCGTTCAGAAGCTTGGTGACGTTGCTGGCTCCGAACACCTTATGAACATTGGCAAATTTCTGCGGCTGGTCCGGCGGGAAGTAGGGTGCAAAGACACATTCCGGCTGGCATTTTCGTCGGAGGAACTTGCATGCTGCACATGGCGAATTCGAAGATGATGCCATTAAATTTGGAGAGTGTATAGTAATAGTGAGAGTCAAAATATGCAAAAAAACAGAAGATGTAAAAGAGAAAAGGGTTTGAATGAAAGTGTATAATGGATTAAAAGTGAAACGTAGTTAGGGTAGGAATGAAGGGTATGAATATTGGATCTTGAAAAGTTGTTTATTTCAAGACGAGACTTTTGAGGGGTTGAATTTATAATGCTTCTTGGGATAACAATCAACCATGACTTTCTTGCAATTTCATTTTATGATTTTCATATAATATATATATATGGTAAAATTTACATTATCCGCAATCATAAATGAACTCATACGGAATCTGATTCCAATGATTCTAATACTTAAAGAGCCGAGATTAGTGAAGTTTCAGTATTAGACTCAAGACCTGTTTTATATTTAAGCAAAGTTGTTCTACATATTTATCGACTGAGCAACACGTCGAAGACAATTATATTATCTTTTCGAACATTTACCGAACAAAATTAAATTAGTCCTGTATTTTTGACTAAGACTGAAAAATTGATTGATTTATATGGAAAAAAAAACTTGTCATTTTACACCTAATAATAATAAACGATTATTTCTATGAAAAACCTTAGTTTGTACAAGTATATGAGGAAACAAATAGAATGAAGAATGACTAGCATATAGTAATTATAATGCAAGAAAAAAATAAGTAAAAAATGTAACAAATAATGTATATGTAATGAATTATGTATGGGAGATATTATGTTTTTTTATGTAATTAAGGGAAACATGTTAATTTTTTATGTAATCAAAGAATATACTATAATTTATATATAGAGAGATGAATGATCAAATGCAAACCATCTCTTTTTGTATGAACTTTACAAACCAATTTCATTCATTCATTTTTTATCAATGGTCATGATTAAAATGTGTTATATTAGGAAAATAAAAAATAAAATAAAATGTTTAATATTTAATCAAAAAAAGGGCAAAATTGGCATACCATTTTAACTTTCAACCATATTATATTATAAAAACAAATCATTGTTTCATTAACTTTTCTTCCATTGATATATTTGACATATCATGTTTATAAAAAACATCTTTTTACAGAAAACTTGGCAAAATATATTATCTGGGACTGGACTGATTAATGAAAACAAATAGACGTAATCTGAAACCTGTTTCATACCAATGCAAAACTTGTTTCATACCAATCTGATTCATGATGAGAATACATCAACAGTGAAATTAGTTTCATTTTTCATCTATATAATAAAATTTGAGTCAGATATGGTTCAGTCAATGGAACAATTTTCAAAAATCTAAATAACATGTTTTCGTTAATGAAATTCGTTTCATTATTGAAATTGGTTTCATGGACTCCACAATTCCAAAAACTGAATGACATTGTTTCAACAGTGAAAATTGTTGAAATGTTTCATAACCAAAATGAAATCGATTTCATGGTTTCTAACCAAGATAAACTCGGTATTATATATGAAACTAAATATTGTTCAGTCAATCAAATACTTCAAAAACTGAATAATAATATTTCATTCATTTTTAAATTTGTTTCATGTTTCTAACCAAAATGGAACTGGTTTCATGGTTTATAGCCAATATGAAATTAGTTTTATTAATGAAACCAAATATGGTTCAGTCAATGAAATATTTCAAGACCTAAATACTATTATTTCATTAATGAAAGTAGTTTCATGATTCCTAACCAAAATCATGAAACTACTTTCATTCTTTAAACATTTTGAAAACTGTATAACATGGTTTCATTAATGACATTTGTTTTACGAATAAAAATAAAACAATATACTCAAAATCTGGAAAATATCACAACTATATTATTAATAAATCAGTAACTACTTGTGATTTCATAAGAAATAAATTATTACAAATAAACTTTATAATTGATGTAGTATTTTTAAATTATCACAATGCATCTTATATGTGTTTGGGTATCACACTGAGGCCGTTTATGTGGTCTATCGGAGATGTAACACAGTGATATCACAATGCATCTTATATGTGCTTGAGTATTACATTGTGTCTTTTGTTTAATAGAATCAATATTTTTAGGTATCACAGTGGTATCACCGGATGACGGTGGCCGGTGGACGAATGACGGAGGACGAGGGATGGAGAGAGAAGAGAGGAGAGAAAATACCTAAAATGTCATTGCATTAAAATTTTAATTCAAAATTACCAAAATTATAAATTTTCAATTTATCTATTGATTTATGATTGAGATTGAATCTCACGATTATCTCAAACTAGTCAGTTATCCCTTGAATGAACCGCTATAAATATATATAGCTTGTAACCTTGATTCTGCAATGTTCATAATCCATGAGACTAGCTAGTTAAGAATACACAAACCAACTATTGAATTTACTGATCAGGTTGAGGTTTCAGATCCAATAAAATATAAATTATTTTTTATTTATTTATTTATTATCTTATTATTTTGAAAAATAAACTATGAGCTCATACACATAATGATTTCGTTTATCAAACAAAAGACATAACCAATGTTTACTAAATACATAGAAACTTAAATATAACCAAGTCACATTTTTCCACAACATAATTTAAATCATTTTTCTTGAAAGTTGAATCTTTTCGGTCAAACCTCCATCCCACCTTCTCTCTAACCATTAAAGATCAAAGATCGGTCCTTCTTTCATGGTGAATACTTAAAGATAACTTGTGTATATGTGGATAAAATCGTTAGAGGGGTTGGAGGGAGTTGTGCAATACCATATGGCAATCTTTATGCTTTCATCGTTTTTGGGGCCGAGCCGGAAATCATTATGGTTTCATGGATAAAAACATGTATTTTAACACAACATATAAAGATTGTGTGGACTTATGATTAAAGTTTCAACAAACTAACGTTTTCACACGATTTAAGAATGCCACACGAGTTGGTGCATAATCGTGAAACATATTTGATTTTGTTACCAAAACAGTAGAAATGAAAGCAGAAGCTTGATGGCTTCTATGATCGTCCAGGGATCGATTGTGATATTATAAGAAACGAAAATAACACATTGTTTTCATGACCCGAATTCCAAAGTGTTACTATGGCTTGCGATTAAAAACTTAATGGATTTTTCGATTTTAAATGATGAAATCCATAAATTTTCTGATAAATTACATACATTATTTTGTGACAAAAAAAGTTACTGACAACTGACTATATTGGTAAATCCGGTTTTTTAAAGTAAAAAAAAAAAAAAACTAAACCACTTAAATGGTAAAAGAGATTGACACAATTTTTATATGTATCTATTTATATTTTAGACGTAACTTTTAATGTTATGAAATTATTAATTCAAATAACATATTTGTTTTCAATTGAATTATTGTAATTTAATGTTGATCAATTGATACATTGAGTGAGAAATTATATATTCACTTTGTTTTTTTAATTAATATGAATATTCAACTCACTAACTGAGCTGACTAATCTCATAGCGACCACCTGTTTTGCGAAAAGTTTGGAGTCACCGCATTTGAACTTCTGGGGCCACAAATAAATTTTTATTCTTCATTGGATTCGAACTTGAGACCTTCAACCACTTTTTGACCTTTTGGAGCCCAAACTTAAACCAATTGGACACCACCCCTGTGGTTCATTTTGTTTTGTAAATAATTGAAGGGGACTCGCACAATACGGTTTTATTTAGTTATGAGAAAACGATAATGTTTTTATTTTTTAATACAATATAAATTTGAAGATGTCATAAATTAAAAAAAATATGAATATTAATATCAAATTAACTATTTAAAAGTTTTTTTGTGTAGTTTATTTGATTCAATTTCTTTATTATAATTCAATTTAGGTTTAATAATAAAATAATTTATTTTTGATTTAATAATGTAAACTTTATAAAGATAATAATTAAGTATTATATTAAAACTAAATAATTCTAATTATATTTTAGGCTTTTCATATCTAAAATGAAATATATATTATGTGTTTGATATGTTTATCTGCGATTAGTCACATGAATTCAAACATTGAGCTTTAGTAAGTTGTACCTACATATAATTTACTTGTAACTTTGCATTTTAAATAATATTATTCAATAAACAATACTTCATGTATAAAAGTTATTTTTATGAATTTTTTGTCAAACGTTTTATAAAATAGTTCTAACAAAATACATGATAAATACCTCAATGTTTAACTTCGTGTAACTAACCGCATATAAACATAATCAAACACATTATAAACATTTCATTTCAAATATAAAAAACCTAAAATATAATTAGGATAATAATTTAATAATAACATAATATTTAATTATTATCTTTTTAAAAAATTATATTATTAAACATGAAATAAATTGCTTCATTATTAAATTATAATAAAAAATAGGATTATTGAAATTTACAAAAAATAAGAACTTTTAAATACTTAACTAGATCCTAACATCGATATTTTTTTCAAGTTTTTATGACATTTTCAAATTTATATTTTATTCAAACATAAAATCATTATCATTTTTCTCAAAATCATATAAAATCATGTTATAACATTGACAAAAATAAATAATAAAAAAAAACATTAAAATCAAAATATATCTCACTGCATTGACCATAGTTACTATTATTAAAAGAACAATTGACGAAACATACGCACTTTTAATTTTTGTTGGTGTTTAATTTTTAGAAAATTAATTAAATAACCATTTTAATTATATGATTTTATTGCTTAGCTATTTCTCTAAAAAAAAAATTATACAAATGTCACTCCTTACGTAATTTTCTAAAACAACAAAAAACAAATTACATTTTTCACACAGTTCCAAATTTTTTTTACAAGTTAAATTGAATTTCTTTTTTAGTTTAATTAGGATTATTATTTTAATTTTAATTTACAAATTTGACCTAATCTTGTTTAATCTCGACCCCCTATGGTTGAAGAAGACATGCGAGCATAACGCGACGAGGTTGCTGGGAGCGATACGATATGCTCCGACCAATCGGCCGCGCTCTTCGCCAGGTTACTTCCTCTTCGTATGACAATCACCATGTCCGGCGGCGAGCTTGCTCCGGAACTGCCGTAAAGCATTGTTGTTCACTCCGGCACTACGATACAATCCCTCATCTATCGGACTCACCTCCAAACCTGCGGACGCTTTCTTCTCATCAGTCTTTCTTACCAAATTCTAAATTTAATCAATGTAGATACCTTACCACTGCCGCCTCGGCCTCCACTGCTGCCGTCGAGCAGCTGAATAACGGCGGAAGTAATGGTATAGCAGATACGATAGACGCGTTTTCAGCAATAGAGCTCGCGCTTGATTCTGTTGTCAAGATATTTACTGTTTCCAGTAGCCCTAATTATCTTCTTCCATGGCAAAACAAGTCCCAGCGTGAATCCATGGGTTCAGGTTTGTAAATTTTACTAACCTTTTCTCATCTGTTGCTTTTAATACGAATTCATTGCATAAGATTTGTACATGGACCGTTAAATAGGGATATGACTGCATGTTGCTTTCTGTAGCATTCTCTTTTCTCGCTAGCGTTTGGACTATATACCAGTTTCCTGTATTTCATGGCTAATTCCGGTGTGGGTTCTCAATATCCTGCCAGGCTATTTTCAACTGACACTGCATTTTTGTTGAAACTTGTAGGTTTTGTTATTTATGGCAAGAGAATTGTGACAAATGCTCATGTAGTGGCTGATCATACATTTGTACTTGTTAGAAAACATGGTTCTCCTACCAAGTATAGAGCAGAGGTTAAAGCTGTTGGTCATGAATGTGATCTGGCTATTCTAGTTGTTGAGAGTGATGAATTCTGGGAGGGTATGAAGTTTTTGGAGCTTGGAGACATTCCATTTATGCAAGAAGCTGTGGCTGTTGTGGGATATCCTCAAGGTATATATTACTGTTGTTGGTGATATGTCTGTTGGTATAGTGGCTGCTGTATTTGGTAATCTTGTAGGCAGGGATGCAAGATTATGCAATTGTCCATAATTTAATCCTGACAAACATATTTTCTTGTGTCCAAAGGTGTTATATGACCACATAAGTAGTAACACTTTCATGATGGTAATTAATTATCTGTTCCATGACTGCTGAAAGATAAGATGGTGGAAAGAACAGTAGGGGAAGAGTGAGCACAAGGGATCATCGATGTACATAGAGCACATAAGTCACCACTGTTGAACTGTTATGATGATGGGGTGTACACTAACACTACACCCTCTGCCCGACAAATAATGTAACAATTTGCTTGCCAGTTAGTTTAAAATATGTTTGGCTATTGATCAAATGTCTAAAATGCCCAGTAATAGAGACAAAATAAAGAAATGCGCGGATCAAAAAACAGAGTTACCAATGTTAAGCAATGATTATTAATGGGTACAAAAGTAAGTTAAGAACTTACCAAAAAAAGAAATGCTGCAACTTTGGATAGTCCAACGTAGAAAGTGCTGTACTTTCTCTTTCTTTTGGATAGAGGGAGTAAAGGAGTCTAATTCTACTGGCGCTAGATCCATTCTTAACCATAATGTGACACATATCCTATGGACATTGATATTGGCTTTTGCAACCATGAGGATATAATATATTTACTTTTTTGGTTTGAAGTTCTGCATTTATATCAATGTTCCTGAAATAGAAGTCAATTTTAATAATAAAATAACTGAAGTACTTAACCCCAAAAGCTGTTTTTAGGTGGTGACAACATTTCTGTCACAAAAGGGGTAGTCTCAAGAGTTGAACCTACACAATATGTACATGGAGCCACTCAGCTCTTGGCAATACAGATTGATGCAGCCATAAATCCAGGAAACAGTGGAGGACCAGCAATCATGGGTGAAAAGGTTGCCGGAGTAGCATTCCAAAATCTCTCTGGGGCAGAAAATATAGGGTGAGTTCCATGTAGTTTTTGTCTTCGCTTGCAATTTTATTATGCTTTCTCAGGGAATGATCATATATTGTCTTGTGGCACCTATATGCTTCTATATTGGTTTATGTGTTTGTATATTGCTTATATGAAGACGTGATAAGTAATATGCTCTATTGACTATTGGTTTCTAAAATATACTCGATCTGTCTATGAGATCACATTATGTACCCATTGACAATGTGGGATTTGGAAAGCTGGCTCAGCAATGGTGCAATGTTGACACTTGTTATTGATATGATATATCACTTGTAATATGCTGTAAAGGTTATGGAAAATCTACTTCTACCCAACTACGAGGTTGGAAGAGTAAACGAGGGACTACCACTATATGAAATTTATAGCAGCGGTTATATTATTGCTATACCAGCTGCATATTTTTTAGACTGCTACTGGATTTTGTTATTAGCCTTTATATCATTATATGTGTGTGTGTATATGAATTGTATTCCATAAATTTGTGCTATGTCACCAAAAGACATGTTCTTTTTTCACTTAGCATGTTTAAGCTGTTTTCTTTTATTGGTAAATCTTTATCATGAAAAATTCGTCTTGCAGTTACATAATTCCTGTGCCCGTGATAAAACATTTTGTTGATGGTGTTGAAGCCAGTGGAAATTATGCCGGTTTCTGTTCTCTGGGCTTGTCATGCCAACCTACTGAAAACATTCAACTTCGTGAATACTTTGGCATGCGACCTGATTTGACTGGCGTGCTTGTGAGTAAGATTAATCCACTTTCCGATGCACATAATGTCTTAAAGAAAGATGATATTGTCCTTGCGTTTGATGGTGTTCCTATAGCAAATGATGGAACAGGTAAAATTCATATTCTATTCCTTCTGGTCTTCTGCTATTTGTTTCTTTTGTCTTTCATTGTAAATACACTTTGCTGTTACATATATCTTTGTCCTTCACCTATCTGATCAAAGGACGATTTTCCAAATTTTGTTGTACCTATGAAATATGTTTACACTCAAATATAAAAGATGATATATAATGATGCTGCTCCCAAAAATCATTAGTGATCATTCTTGGGCAATTTGTTCTGTAGTTGGACAATAACCCCACATGGTGTTATATTGTGTCAAAATGCTCCATTGGCAGCCTTTTAAATTTTAATATGTTTATGTGTGTTCAAAAGTATTTTGCAAACATAGGATTTGATTGATTTAATTGAGTGGAACTTTGAATCTGCCAATGAAGACCACCAGAAAAATTAACTAGCAAGAATTGGGAACACCAAAAATGATAGGCTGTTGCATGCTTCTTGCTTTTCTTTGTATGGAGTTGTTCTTACTATGCAATCACATGCTAATAAACTGGCTGAACAAACTCCTTTACCATCATCGCACCCTTTTCTGATATATTCTGCTTTTAAATTCTGCAGTTCCTTTCCGGAATAGGGAGCGAATAACCTTTGATCATCTAGTTTCAATGAAGAAGCCAAATGAAACTGCTATAGTTAGAGTATTGAGAAATGGTGAAGAGCTTGAGTTGACAGTTACACTTCGTCCAGTAAGTCACTAATCTTATTCATCTATCTGAATGTAATTTTTTTGCTGGCTTTGTAGTTCTAAATCTTAAAAAATTTCATTGAAACAAGGGAAATTGATGGCCACTACTAGTGGCTCAAGAGATGAAAGCAAGTTAAAGCTGGGGAATGTCACAAAAATAGAAGAACATGGCATCATCTTATTGATCTGTCCATGAATCATATTATGCCCCCACTGAAATTTTGTGTCTACATCTCTCAGTCTCTGTTCTTCTCTCTCTCGTTTATGGAAAAGTCCCACTTCTTTCTTGGTAGGCAACCAGATTCATCTAAGCCATCTTCTGTTAAGTTCTAGACGAATGAGTTATGACTCATATGGGCCCCATGGATAGGGCTTTACTCAGAATGAGGCTTTTGATGTCCATCGCTATTTTTAAGAGCCCTGTGTTTGACAAGTAATACTCGTGACATTCCAGTGTCATGTACTTTTACCATTTGAGGTAGGTCGGGGTACTAGATTGTGGCATTTGTTGACCCCTTTAGTTGGGATGTATATGAGGAACCTGGGATTTGTTCTTTCCTTGATGCTGTGAAATCGTACAAGGACCTCATTGCAGGATGGGTGCCACAAACGTCTCCAGGGCTGGGGACCCTTCTCTTTTACAAGGGGATGAGGGGCTGCCTTTGACAAATTGTCTTGTTGACCTCTTGGTGAGGATGCTCTTTTCATAACACTGGTGACTTCTGCATCAATGCAAGTTATATAACTATTTTCATCGGTGATACCTTATCAGTGCCAAATATTAACAGTGGGCTACGGTTCTTGCCTTGAACTTTGTTGATGCTCCTAATGATGCAAGAATGTACTCTTTTAGAGCATCGTGGATATCTATTAATAATTTATAAATCCATTGTAATGATTGCGCAACTGTTGCACAAATGGAGGATTAGAGTATTTTCGCAGAAGTTTTGATACCCGCAAGTATTGCTATATTGGACTAGTACACATGTTGACTCGTCCTTACAAGTTCGTGAGACATTACAATTTATATAGTTTATTAGTTATGTATCTGCTTGATTTAGCTCATGTTGTTATATAAGTTTATATGTGTTTCTAGAGTTATTTAGTTGGTTTGAGTCCTTGGCTTGGTTTCAATTTGTAGAAACAAGCGTTTTTGCCACTCACTACATTGACAATTCATTGGTTACCGGAGTAAGGATAAGTTGAAGTTCAACATGAATAGGGAATTTTTGCATTTCATGCTAACATATATGACTAGGAAAATTTCAGTATTTCATGGATACAAACTTACTGGATTTTCATTTACTATATATTCTGAATGATGCTGAATATGTGATCTTGATATGGTCCTAGGGGAAAATGAATATAGAACTCAAGGTTGTTAATGAGAATTAGTTGAAGTACAGCGTTAGTATTGTAAGTAGTTTCCATGAGTTCATTTTCACTGTTAAGCACTTTTGATCTATTTGTTTGTTGCCTTTCTATCATATTCTTCTAAAAACAGCTACCACTTTGCAGTTGAAGCCTCTTGTACCTATCCATCAGTTTGATAAGGTTCCTAGTTATTTTGTTTTTGCTGGTCTGGTGTTTGTTCCATTGACCCAGCCATACCTTCATGAATATGGAGAAGACTGGTACAATACCTCTCCACGTCGTCTTTGTGAACGAGCATTGAGGGAGCTACCTAAAAAGCCTGGTGAAGAGATTGTTATTTTATCTCAGGTGCTTGATCTTCTTTTACTTTTTGTTCTTATTTCATTTGCTTTTCAAATGATATATTGCCTGCATACATGCATTATGAGAACTAAATTCTATGGCTATATGATTAAATATTGAAATCAAGCAACCTATTATCTAATGTGGAATATCAATTATCCAGCACACAATACACTAGACAGAAGAGCGCTCATTAAAGTCCTTTTTTACTCTCTTATTACAGAATAAGATGAAAACAATTTTATCATTTATGCCGCCTTTTAGTAGCATGTTACTGATTGACTCTCTCCATCCCATAATAATTGAACAATATCATTTCAATGTGTCACAAATTCTTTGCACTGTTTGCTTTTGTCCAAAGAATTTGGGCTTTATGATTCACATTCCCACTTAAAATCCAGGTAGCGCTTGCCACTGCATGGCATGTTGAATTCGTGTTCTCTGAATGTCCAAAACCTTCGTTGTAATGTGATTTTTAGCATGTTCATTTCCCATTTTAGATATTATAAACACGTGAATTTGATATCAAGTTATCTATCTTGTATGCTTAGGTCTTAATGGATGACATCAATGTGGGATATGAGCGTCTTGCTGATTTACAGGTATACTTGCCTTTCTATGACTTCAAGGGATATTTGACAGATATTTTTCAAATGTATTAGCTTCTAACATATTTTGAGAATTCTTAGGAAGAGGCATTATGCTGTTAGTAAGATGTAATCTTGAATCTATAATTAGGTCATGCATTTAAAAAAGATTCTGTTAAATAACCAATAACTTGAACCATACGACTTACCTGGCTTAATTGTCCCAAAATTCGTCCATGATTGCTGAACTTTGACTAGCTATGTACTCCTCCCTTGGAATTTGCAATGTTTTGATAGTAATGATTCTTGTTTTTGGAAAATATGAAGTTAAGTCAACCCATTTTCTCATATGCTTAACATTTTCTTTTTTTGGAAAGATACCAAGTTGAAATTTACCGATTTGTAAATTATCATCATTGAAAGTAAATTGATAGTATTGGTTTGGAAACACAAGACACTTTTATTTGCCTTTGTTAAAGAATTTAGATATCTTACAAATAGCGAAGAACTCTCACTCGATTCATTTGCCAAATGAAACATCCAAATTTCTTTGCTTCATCAAAATTTTCATGGGATGGAGGTAGCAGCCCTCTTTTTGAACTTTAACTAGTTTTATAATGGCTCTGTTGTTATGTTCGTGTGAGATTTACAGGGTTTATTTGATTTATAATGGTGGTTGTTGTTGTGAGCAGGTTAAGAAGGTTAACGGCATTGAAATTAACAACTTGAAACATATGTGCCAACTAGTTGAAGAGTGCAAAGAAGAGAAATTGAGGTTGGATTTGGATGATGAGAGAGTAATAGTGTTAAGTTATGATAAAGCAAGAACAGCTACTTCTCATATCTTAAAGCGCCATAGAATACCGTCTGCCATGTCCATCGACCTATTAACGACTCTTTCTGCTTGAGCCAAGTTTACTGTACTCCGCCCTTGGTTTTAGATATTTTTCACCCTCAATAACCCATCCGTCAATTTTGTGGAATGTGTTGTAACAGTGTTATTTTCTGGATGATTAGATACATACACTCACTACATTGTCCACGATTTTGAAGTTATATTGGTTGGAGTTAGAAAAAGACTATTGAAACTACTGGACTACTGGTGATTGGAAGGGCCTGAAGCCCGAGACAGGACCGGTTGCCAGAGGTCCGGGGTTGGTTGCTAAATCCTGACTGGGTACCATTTTTTGAAGCTAAACTAACCGGTTAATAGACCGGTGAGGCGGTGACGTTGACCAGTTATCAAGGCCTGGTTATCTTATTTTTGCTGTATTCACCAAATGTCACAACTCATGACCCTTATTTTTGGACAATTTTGTCATTCGCTTAGAGTATAAAAACAAATAAAGAACTCTCAAAGCTAAAAATCAAAGAATTGTTTGTGTTTTAAGAAGCCTGATTTCTCATGTTTTAGTGATCGGTAAACACAAGATTTTTATAAAATGTAGTGAAAAGATGAGAATTGATACGGGAATTGCGAATGGTAAAGACATTAAGCAAATGTTCGTCGGAAATTTTGTTTTTAAGTTTTATGCAAATGTTTTCTAAGAGCATCTTCAACAGCTTCTTTAAAATGGAAATTCTGAGTCAATATTTTGTTCTAACAGTTTTCTCAAAACTATCTTTAAAATGAAGAAAGTATGAAAGATAACAAATTTTTCTCTAAATATGGAGAACACCTCAAAACTAATTACAATTATGAGGAACCTGATGGAGATAATGCAATTTTCTTTTGAAGATTTTAATTTTAAATTTTAAATAAATTTTAAAGATACATAATCATTGTTTACTCTTTTTATATAGAATTAGAATATCTGCAATAAATGTCCAATTTAAAAAGGATTAACAATTTAATATTATTAGTTCTGATTAAATATTTGAGGGAAAAGTTCAAAAAAACTCAATGGATTTTATTGTTTAGAACGATTAACCCTTGTACAATTTTTTGGAACAAATAAACCCTTGGACTTTCTAAAATCTGTCAAAAAAACCCAATGGACTTTACTGTTTGGAACGATTAAACCCTTTGACAATTTTTTGGAACAAATAAACCTTGGATTTTTTAAAACCTGTTAAATAAGTCCTTGGACTTTACAAAACCTGTTAAATAAGTCCTTGGACTTTACAAAACCTGTTAAATAAGTCCTTGGACTTTCTAAAATATGTTAAATACATTTTGTTAGTGAAAAAGGTATGAAAAAACAATGAATTTTCATATTTTGAACGATCAAGTTCATAAATATTTTTTGAACGAAAAAAATACTTACATTAAAAAAAACAAATATATCATTCTCATTACTATTCGTAAAATATACAAAAAATGAAACCAAAAGTTAAATGCATACACATTTTGGACATAATTTTACCAAAAGTTAAACGAAAATATATACCAAAAGTTGAATCAAAGTATGTAACAAAAGTTGCGCAAAGAAAATACTAACAATTGCGCCAAATATACCAAAAGTTGCGCTAAAATATACCAAAGTAATGCCTAATCTATGTCAAGATCATGGTATGAACTATTCTTCATTTGCACTATTAAATTCTAGTGGAGATATAGCCATTTGACTTTCTTGTAAACCTTCTTGATGTCTAACAACATCACCACTTTCTTGTAAAATCTAAGGATTTATTTAACAGATTTTAGAAAGTCCAAGGGTTTATTTGTTCCAAAAAATTATTCAAGGGTTTAATTGTTCTAAACAGTAAAGTCCATTGGGTTATTTAACAGATTTTAGAAAGTCCAAGGGTTTATTTGTTCCAAAAAATTGTACAAGGGTTTAATCGTTTCAAACAGTAAAGTCCATTGAATTTTTTTTTACTTTTCCTAATATTTAAAATATCTTTTAAATAATTATTTGTAAGCCAAGATTCTGTTGGACATCTATCATAGATGCATAACAAGGCGGGAGTTCGATTTTCAACTATCTAAAACAAACAGTGCCCAGGCCTCGGTGCTTAGTGGTGTGGTTTCCTCATCATCTCGGTTCTCTTCATCGAATCCGCTTCAACCCTTCACCTTCAACTTCTGGATTCTCTACGGTACGTTAAGAGTCCTACACTTTGATAAATTTCATGATTCTCGTTCTGTTTATATGATCTGATCGTCAGTTCTAATGAAGATAAGGAGTCGTGACTCTCATTCTGTTTATGTGGTATATGCTCCGTTCGTCGGTTCTATTTATATGACTGAACTCACTGATTGTCGTTTTCAGTAGTCGTGATTTCGGCTTATTTCCTGAAAGTAATGCCTAATATAAGAGTTTTCTTATATATTTTTGTGATGTAATGCTTGTTTATAGTTTTCTGACGTGATTTCGAGACTAATCAGAAGTTATATTTTGAACGAAGATCACTCGGTTTTTGAAAATCTGCCACTTAATTGTAGAATCTCTTTTGACGATTAGAACTTCAAAGCTTGATGCTGATTGACGTAGATGTTCGTGTGCTTGAACTCATTTGTTTTCAGTTGGAAATTTGGTAGATAAGTTTTTTAATCACTTATTTAAGACTAAAAAGTAGAATGATAAGTTTTACATATAATGGACTGTTTAACCATAAATTCAATTTCATGTGTTGAATATTGTACAAACTTATATCAGAGTAACAATCGGGAATTTATATGGCAAGTGATAGTAACTACAGACGTCACTTTCATGTTAGACTTGGTCCTCAATAAAAGTTAGGGTTCCAATTTTGTCGTTATAATTCCTAATCTCCCTATCCTGTTATTTGATTATGCTGAGAAATTCGTGTATTTGGTGTGCACAGTTGATGTTACCTTCAAATTATGCTGCCTTAGAACATATTTTCTTATGCAAACCTTCGTCTTTGCACTTCCATTAGAGTGAATCAGGATTCTGACATACTTTATTATTTGTAGACAAAATCATGAGATTCACAATTTGAACTATACCTTTCGAGTTGATTCAAGAGATATGAACCTATTTGGTATCCGTATATCAAACGTTCCATGTCCGTATAAAATCCATTTTATATGTTTGACCAAGCTACAGTTAAATGCGCTTGTTCTTTTTCCGTTTCTTCTTTTGAAGATTTCTATGTAGAGTCTATTGAGGCAAATTCTGTTATTAGCTACATGAAATGAAAGGTTTCTTCTTGTTGGTATTTGGTAGAGTTGTAAAAGTGACGAATGGAAGAAAGACATTTCTTGTGAATAATACAAGTATATTTGGTTTAAGCATCAATAATATGCATCTTTTCTGTACTATTGCATTTATGCATGTTATAGTTAGAAAAAGTTGAAGAAATTTTACCATTTGATTTGACTCACAGTTCATATAATTAGTATATTGATTCTCGATTTGGTTCATGACCTAATAACTATATTCTCTCCTAGGATAGCATCTATATAATCCCTTTAGTAATCACACTTTCAACAAATCTCTGTGGGTAAACTTTATATCCAGTGTATTATTATTTACTTCGAGAATATGAGCAAGGAAGAACAAGGCAACACACATGCACTACTTTTGATGTGGTTTCTCATCATTGACAAATATATACGTTCTTGATCTCATGCATTGTGGCTGTCCAGTGCAAACAAATACATTTTAAATGAAAATTGAAAGGACAAGTCCCACAAGGAAACGTACCAAATTTGTATGTCTTCTTGGACCCTAGCTTTAATCATTTACATTGTTTACCAACACAGAAGAAGATTAAACGGTGTGTTCTTGGTTGCTACTTTATGATAATCAATTAGCAGGTTGAGGAGAAGGAAACACTAACTGGAGATGGAGCAATAGTAGAGGTTGCAGAAGATGATACTGAGGCAAATCCTCCTGTATCTGAACAGATGGAGGTTTATATGAGTCAAATTCTTGAAAAAATTGACAACTTCACTCAGCAGGTAACCATGTTGGAGATTAATCATTATCTAGAATGTTATCATCTGATGTAACCAAAGGGTCATTGGTCCAGCGGTATCCGGATTACATCTAGAGCCCTAACACTCAAAAGTTCAATGGTTCAAAGTTTAAACCTCACCAAAAGTGAGGAGTATGCGTGAGTATTTGTTGTATATATTATATATACTTCAAAAAATCTGGGATGTAAACTTGCAATCTTCTCATTCTTAAATACATGCACTGGTTCATATCTAGATGCAATTATCTTTGTAAGTTTGTTTGGGTTCTTTTATGAAGGTGTCTGAACTTCTTGAATCTGGGAAATCGTTCCTCAGAGAGTTGGGTGCTGAATTAGAAGAACGGATGATAGCGTGAGTTGGAAGTTGGAACTTGTAATTGGATTATATCTAGAATTACAAGGTTGTTTTTTCTTATGATGAAACTTCATGCTCACAGAATACACAAGGAACAGATGGAAAAGTGGCAAGATGAAATCAAGGAACTTCGCTTCATGGATGCTTCAAACGAGGAGATCAATGCTCTCTTGCACAATGCTCAGCTAGTACTTCATAATGTTCATAATGACCACTCCTAAAGGTAAAGTTATATCATTCATGTGCATTGATTTGTTATTTTTCTTATTTCATTTGCATTTTAGGTAGTTAATAGTTCGCTCTCCAAGTGTGCCTGTCCCCCCCCCCCCTCTCCCTCCTTACCATGGCAATATTACGTGGATCAGATGTTGCATTCTTTTCGAGAGTGTGAGTAGTACTTTTACCATATTGAGACACATACATCAATTTATTGCATTATATGTATTTTGACTGCCCTGACTGCAGAACATAAAAATCTACTATCACCAAATTCACTATAATTCTTATATATACACAGAGAAAAATTTGATGACTTCATGTTTATCTCGTTAGAACAAGGTGTTGATATCTTAGCATGGAAAAAGATGTATGTTTCGTGTTGGATCACATGCATGCTAGAATGCTTTTGCATAATCTGCTCAGCTAACATCTTCATTTGTTTGTCTTCATATATTACATCTATTAGTAAAACATCTCTTGGTCTTTTCCTCATTTTTGCCAGATTAATGCATCCAACGCCCAAACTATATGCTCACCAACATCAACGGATCAGCAATACATAAATTCATCAAGGAATTGCTATTATTCTACCATAATCAGGCATGCTTTTTTTTATCTTTTTCTGCACACTCATCGTACTTACTACTCAAAGGATGAGTTGAATTCTATACTGGGAATAAGTTGAATCAATACTAGTAGGGCATCTGATCTCAAGATCGCAAACTGTAACCCGAAAACTCCACGGTTTTACTAGGGCTGATCATGAATGCCACATTTTCCGTACATTTTGCAAAGAAGTTCCCATAACTTGAACCCATATGTTTTCGAGACTTGCTTTTGACTTGATGTTGAGAAATTAGTTAAGAAAAATGAAAGTAGACAAAAGAAGGATTTAATTTATTGGACCATGCAACTACTCCATGTTCAAAAGTACTACAATGCATCTCGCTGGGGTTTACAATCCATCTTGTCTTCTAGGACCTCAAATTCAGGACCACGATCTGCAACAAGTCTTTATACCCAGGGGATACTCTGACGTAGACATCGAGTCTGGCTTTTAGCCGTCTAGTGACTTCGGTCATCAACCCAGGGTAAAGCACCTTCCGTTACTGGTAATAAACTAGAAAATCCTTTTCTGCTTGTTGCATGAAACTTAATGACCGATGGATTTGCTGGAGCTGGAAGGTCCTTGGAGATTCTTTTATGATTGTTTCTTTAAGCATACGAAAAATCACCTCTTACGGCATATCGTCATGCCGTCACCAACTGGCACCTAGCAAACAAAATCCCCAGCAATGCATTAATGAACTTGTTCCAAAGTTTGCTGTTTTCCATCTAACACATAATGCAACAAATTCTTTTTTAGGTAAATTTTCAATCCAAATTTACTTTTATGGGTTCACATATGACATTCGCAAGTTTGCTTTTTGTTCACTAGTTTGCTTTATTATGTACTTATCACGGACATTTCAGGTATTTTAATCAACAGGTAAATAATTTTTATGAAACTACGTATCCAAGTCAAATGTAATATTTGATAGGAGTGCTAAGTTCTCTTAGCGAGGAGACATACCATACTAATGCTAACACGCTCGTCATCCAATAAAGCTCTGTTGAAACTTCTTATGCTCTCGGTTTTTTTGTCATTAACCTGCAGAAAGAAAGGACGGGTTAGATTTCTGAACTTCAAATAGATGCACAACTTGTGGTTATTCTCATTTATTTACCAGCGGATCCGCAACTTTTCCATGCCAAAGCACATTATCAATTACTATAACACCACCTGCTCTCACCTACAAAATTAAAGCAAGTAAAACTTGCGATAACACGTTTTTGGAGGAGGGTAAATGGTTGTCACTCACTTCAACAGTATCTCGAAGTCCAGCGTGAAGCAATCGTATCTTGTGAAGTTAAACAAATATGCTTGATTAAAGAGAGTATATGTTACTAACCAGTTTTAGCAGCAACTCAAAGTAGTCGTGATACATTCTTTTCTCGGCATCAACAAACGCGAAATCGTAGCTACAGAAAGGAAGACGAAAATGACATTACACTCCACCAAGCTTCAACTGTTAATACAACAAAGATCTCAATATGACAATGGTGCTTGACGGTCAAAATATCTTGTGCTATGTTAACTCGTCACTCCCTTTGTTCCATAAAACAAAATAAAAAACGAAAAAAAGCGTTTTTGGGCCGAAGGGACTACTGATTTAAATTTTACACATACGTTATGGGTACAATTATAACGTTACAAAAATGTAGTGTGTGTTAAAAAAGTCCAGTGAAAAAAAGGATGCATACCGGTTATGAAGTTGAATACTGAATCTGTAGGTTGATGTCAATCTACCTCCTATTTTGGAACGAAGAAATAATGTATCAAGTTGCATAGTAATTTATGAAATTCACCTGCAACCTTCCCCATTCTCTATCATTGAGTTCAGAGTATCCACAGCTAGTCCATGTCTTACATCCACCTAATATTCGACCAAATATCTGAGTCATTATGCGTACAAATTTGGAGATGTTAGAGATTTAAAGGCTTCATCGGCTTTGTCAGCGTTTGGAATGAATGTTTTCCAAAGAGACTGCTTACATGACTTTGACCATGTGACCTTTCAATCACAAAGGAGTAACATTACTCGGGGAGTTTGGTTGGGGTAATGACTAATAAGGAATGGGGAATGGAAATCACTAATGGTATCCGATTTGATATATGGAAATGGGTCATTACCAAATACCGGCTAATGAATCATTTTAAATTGGGGGAATGAAACTCATTCCCAATTTCCATTCCCTGAAACAAACCAAGCGCCCCCTCATTGTTCTTGTATCGGTAGGGGACACGAAAAGGCAGAATATGCAAAAAGAAAGATTTGTCACCTTGTGTGGAACACCCGCTCGATCATAATACCTTTTTGCAACCTCAAGAGAGTTCTTGTCCCTCTCACAAGCAACTAGGATCCCTGAGTCTGGTAGCACTAGAGCAACAGCCAACGACGAGTATCCCTGCAACATAAGAATTGCAGTGCATATGGGGTAGTCAGGTACCTAAAGACTGTAACCAGTGGGCCAAAGACCTCTTGGTGAGTAACTAGGTATACTATGCAAAAAAAAGAATCTGAAAGCAGACCGAGTATCAAAAAACTGAACCTTATGGAAAAAGATCTATATCAATACAATATGACTCTCTAAACTCAAAAGTGGAACTTTTTCTTTTTTTCTCATGCTCTTTCACAAGTCGGGGGTCTTCATAGAAAAGTGTGCTCTACCCTCCGGGGGAGGGGACAGGTCAGCATACATCATCCCCCGACCCTTTAGAGTTTAGAGTAAGGAGCAGCAAGTCATATAAAAAACAGTACATAACAAATGTAGTAAAATGAGGCACTCAAGGCTAATAAAGTCGAAATACTTACAGTATATACTCCAACTTCAATGCATCTCTTTGCCCCAAGAATCTGGACAAGCATTGCAAGTAGTTGTGCTTGATCAGGTGATACCTGTTTGAGCGGACATCTCGTAAATATGAAGGAGCGTATGTAAGATATCGTACTTGACACTTTGTTTTAAACAAAGAACGTACTTCCAAAAGAAACTCAGGGGTTGTTTGGTTGGTTTTCCATTAAGTCCAGTATGGATAAAGCTGACTATGTGGATTAATCTGTTTATATGGATTGGGAGGGTTTTTTCATAGATAGAAGGAGCGTGTTAATTGGGAGGGGCAAGTTTGGAAAAACTTGGCTTTCTCCATAAAGCTCCCCCACAAGAAGCTTCACGAATAAGCCACTTTCTATATCATTAAGCCTTTTCCAAACATTCATTTATAGCTGACCGAATAAGCTGTGAAATCCGTTAAACTCATTAAGCTGTTAACAAACAGACCGTTAGTATGAAATAGTGAAAGAACAACCAATGGATGAACTACTTGAGTCCATTTGGTCTTTTGAGAAAAAGTAAGATGTTCTTTCATTCTCTGTTTTCAAAATCATACTTCAAATCAATATGTTCCTTCGTTTTCTTGCTCCCAGTGAAAGAAAATGTAAACAAAACAAAATACCTGCATTTGACTCCCGTGCATGGTTGCGGTCTCCTCTCTAAGTTCTCGCAGAATCTGTGAAGCAAATAAATTCGTTTCTTTTACTTGTATTTAGTGTTGTCATATATAAATTTGTTGGAATACTCGAAAGAACCATGAAGAGGTTACCGATGGTTCTCTAACGTTTGTCAACAAGTAGTCATATACCCTCGGAGTAATGCTAATAACTTGCTTATTACCATAGTTGTGATCACTGGCAATGGTCACCGCGGCCACATCGCTGAAGCAATTGGTGGTGAGGAGGTATGACTTTCGTCTTCCAAATGAATGACAATTCGGCCTTGCAATGGCAGCATAACTAGTGCACAATCGGCCAGGGACAAAGCTCGTCAATTGGGGGAACATCCACCCACAATGAATCACAGATCCAGTCATCTACTTATATGCCAAGCAACCGCATAAGAGATCAGTGAAATCATCCATCGATGTAATTTTATCAGATAAATATTATAAGTATCTTGTTGGGTGACCTTTGCAAACTTTGCAAGACTAGAAGTAAAAAACGAAACAATGGGACAAAAACCACACTTGATTATCAAGAGAATCTGAAGCATATAATTTTGATATTTACAGTGATTGTTTAAATTCCTGTGACTTGCCCATGTTAAAGAAAAGTAATCTCAACCATTTTAATTGGAAATTTGTCCAGAGGTATTTACTGACCATAAGTGGCATTCAGTTCAAAAGAAGATGTCATTGAAGCATTTCATCAAACACTAAGTTTGCAAGTACAAAAAAGAACGTACTTGTTGAAACGATGAATCGTATGCACATTAACCTAAAATGAAGTTGGGACAGAGAAAGGAAATCGAGTACCAGGATCGAGGAACGATTCGCCTCTGCTGCTTCGCTCCGAGAGGACCGACGCAGTAGCGGGTTTTTGTTTTTTTTATTTTATTTCTACCAAAATAAAATTTCTCACCATGGATAAGCTAAGAGCTTCTTGAACTTGGACCCTTTTAAACGATGGATAATTTGACTCAAAATTTATTTTCAGAAGCTTTTTTTTTTCCCAAACTTATAAGCTCGGTGTCAGTTTAGACCTTTGTTCGGGATTCTTTATTTGAATAACTTATATTTTTTATAAAAGCCTTTATCAATTTATTATAAGTTAGAATGATTTACTTTTTTAAAAAACTTCTTATTATGGGTTTGGTACCGGTATAAGCTGATTATCCAAACATTTAAAAATATTTATTACCGATAACACACCAGAATAAGTCAATAAGTTGTTTTTATAAGCAATCTCAAACACTCCCTAATTCTTTTGCACAGTGTTTGCAATATAGACCAGAATGAACAGTTTTGGACATAGATAAGTAAAAAATAATTGAAATTGAATGAAAAAAGGTTGGGTTTGACAAATTGTCTTTAAATATTGTTTAGTGGTTTTATGTGGTGGTAGGAGTGGAGGTGGTTATTGGGGTGACGATGGACATAGGTTAATGATGGTTGTGGAATACATGAATATTATAAAACCTATCCATGATAATCTGTTGAAATCTTTTTCAAATAATCTAATTTAGGTAAATTTTAGAGAATCTATTGGAGATGTTCTAACCATTTGTAATTGTGATTCAATGTTGCAGTTGTGTGATCATAAATGTTGTGTTTAGTCGGCATCTAAATTGTTAGGGGGTAATTTTATTTGGCAAAAAAATCAGTCTCTTAATGGTTCTACAACCCTCAGAATGATTTTGTATCTTAGGTCTCGAAGATCCATTTAACACCCTAATTTCATTCTAAACAATTAATAAACAACCATATTAAATTTTACACTACATCATAAAAATCTTTTAATCATTCTCACCACTTAATATCTTACACTAAATCATTCAACAACTACCAAACAACTCATAAGTATGTTTATTCCTCCTTCCCTAGCAACCAAAAAAAAATGGAAACTACAAAAGAGATGTAGAGAACCACTTATCATGTAAAAAATGTATATGAAAATGCAGCATTATTTCACAATACAAAACAAAAAATGCATATTAAGAAACATCACATTTAATGTTTCACAATGTGAAACAAACACATTATTAGTGATTCTCAAACTTCTTTTATAGTTATCCTTTAATTATTCCGCTTAACCCATATAATACTCGACCAAAGCAATGAAAACAACTTCAGATATCAAGATCCACCTACAAAACAAAGCAGAGAGCTAGCAGGCTTTATAGCCATTTAGCAATACTCTTCTTTCAGTGTCTTTCAATATCTGCTGTGCCTCCAACTAAGAAAACCCACCAAAAATACAGCACACCACAGGATATGAAAGGTCACAAGTGGAATTAGTCAGTCAACAAACACAGATTATTGAAAATTAATTCAGCATCATAAAAGTTCAGACACAAGAAATTTAAAAACCAACTTCACACAAACACAATTTCAAGTTTTTTGTTTTGTTTTGTTTTGGCACTCGTATGATCATCATCTATTCCTCCTCTTCTGCCTCCTCCAGCCACTTTATGAACGGCTCCAACGCCTTCACAAAGCTTTGCCTACACCATCAAAACCAACATAAATATTCATTCGAGATCTCTAAATTCTACAAACTGAGGAAATGAAGAAGCCATGTAAAACTGCTAGCATACCTTCCCTTTGGGTTGGTTCCTTTACGGAACCAGTGAAGTATAGTGTCTTCAGCAAGAACGTCTTGGTCATAAAGGGACCTCACAATTTCAGGGAACAGTTTCATTAGTTTGGTATCTTCATAACATTGGACTTGAACCTTGTACAGCAGTTCTAGCTCAAGCTTTCCACTAGTGCAGAATGTGTTCAGCAACTTGGCCCATGTTTTCACCTGCACATTTTGCCCCTTCTCAGTCAGCATATGATCCCAAAAAATAGAAACAGATTATGCCTATTTCATACAGACTGCTCAAGGTGAACAATGGTTGGCACCAACAGTATCAATGGTTTGCAAAACATGATGTCCCTCATTTAACCTAATTTATTCTACACCTAGGCTTTAACACTATAACCAAAAGAAAAAAACATGCCCCTGCATTTACTATTTTATTCTACACTATCAATTTGTATCTATTTCTAATATAGAATTAGCAAAGTTCTCAGACATAGAGAACCCACATAAGTTGAAAGTTGGAAGTAGCCTGTTTGATCTAACGTCAGTGCATCTGACCTTCGTATAACAAATCTATGACTCAAATGAAAGAGTCTGGAAACAAGATATACAACAGGTATTTGACAAATAGACCTAGATGTTTCAATGAAGAGCATGAATCTTCTAACGTATTTAAGACACATTTTCTATTAATAACAATTGTTATGCAGGGATATTAGATTCTAAGAAAAATTAAAGAACATAAATTTGATGAAAGAAAGTAGTGTTTTTCACCTTAAAGTCAAAGTGCCTACATGTTACTGTCAACAACAAGTCATGAGGTATAGTTACCTGGCGGAGAGCCAAATTAGCGTTCTGTTGTTGGTTCTTCCCTGACCATTGAACAGCATCCATCAAAACATCCCATAGAATCCTCACAACCTCAATATCTGGCAATTTAGCATCCTTCACATGTTGTTTCACTGTTTCTATTACTTCTGAAATATCAGCTTCCTCTGCTATCTGAGTTGTTAAGGCAGATTTCATTTCCTTCACCTTCACTTCAAAGATCTTTTTGTCGTTATATTCAACCAAAGGGGCCATCCCTGCTTTGCTGGAGAAGATTACAAATAAATTTATAACATCAACAAATAGTGACACCATTATATAATACAATATAAACACAAACTTTAAGAAAGACAACTAAAAACAAGTGTTAAGATTGAACAAGAAGTGTTTTGGATGTTTAAAAGTGATTCTTGCAGGCATTGGGTGGATACATATATACACTGAATGGCACTGTCACAGCTTTGAGACTGCAGTACACTTGCATTAACTTGCATCGGTTGGGTATAAAATACATAATCTGCTGTTCATGCAACATTCATACATGTAAGTCTGCAAGAATTATCTCTGTTTATTTGTCTAGTGAAATTCTTCTTGATAACAATTATCACCAATAACCAAAGAATTTGAAAAAATAGCACTGCCAACAATAATAGAACTATATAATAACAATGACTCAACTATATGCAGATTGCAGCATATTTGATGTTTCACATTTCAAAACTGAACTTACGTAAAATGCTCAGAGAAAGCTTCAGCAGATCGCTTTCCAGATGGAAAGAAATCAAGCAGATTGTCCTCCATTTTCCCCCGCTTCAAGATGGAGATCAGATCATCAAGGCTATTATCAATCAGATATTCCTTGAAAAAATCTGTTATAAAAGTAAGAACCAGCCCTTTTCCAACTAGGTTATCCTTAAGAAGTGGCTGGAAGACTGTCTCCGGTGGCAAACCCGACAGCTTCTGGGAGAAGGCAAGTGCTGTGAAAATTGCCAGCTTAATTCGTTCATTTTCCTCAAAGAACTCAAGAGACTGAAGGAATCTTCGCATAACATTTTCAAGATTCTTTATGAGAAAAGGCCTTCGCCTCAAAATTTTCTGTATGTAGATCACAGATGGCAAAATGACTTCACGGCTAGCCTCATAATCTAATATAGAGTAAGGATGGCGCTCCCCTTCGTCAGGCTTAGTAGTACCAGGTTGAGTACGCCCTCCAGTGAAGACAACCTGAAGCATTACAATACATACGATAACATTAATGCATAGACGTAATGTCAAGATTGTTGCTAAATAACCCAAGAACTAATGCTTAGAAGTACTGGTGACATAACCCAAAGAAGTAAGGCCTATTGGATCAACAGCCACCAAGCAACATGGAAATTCTAATGACATACAACAAAACAGGGCAGACATTTGCTCAGTCATGAACTTGTGATATAAGCATATGTGATACTACAAAAGCCACTAAGTTGGCTTGCATAAACTATTCTTCACAATGTTAAGAAACACCACTCTTCAGAAGAGAAGTTTGCAGCAACAGTGCACCATTGTGGCCTAGAAAGCACAGGAACAGTTGTGTATCAAAGTAATGCATGTTGAGTGTTAGGGATCCTACATTTCCAAACTACTAAAATTGGACATGGAGCATACATATACAAGTAACCCTCCACAAATAATGTTAAATGGCACTCAGGGAACTTCACAGAATAAAACACAACTGAAATCCTGTGTGAGTTACTTCATCCCTGGACCAATCCACCTACCCAACTTATTGTATTTAAAGATATAGCAACTCGAACATAAAAAGTATTGGACCAAAAAGGACCTCCTTTGACAATTCTATAGAGGTGTAGGTGTTACATAAAATAGAAAAACAACTCAGAGAAGAAGCAACACAAATATGAAAAAGGAAAACGAAAATCATCGACAGAGATTGAAAAGCTGCATCTGGCAAGCATTTGAAGAGAGACTGAAGAACTAAAATGCTATAGGTGAGAATAACTCAAAATTGCATAAAAAAACAAAGTACATGGAACAACCATATATCCTTCAATGGATCGTACTGAGCCTTTTTTGGATTAAGCATGTGAGAACATACATTAATCAGTCCTGATAATATTGATCAACTAAATGAACAAGTGAGATAATAAAGCTAGAAACTTCAGCTACAACCCCTTATGGCACCAGCATCATAACTAATGTTTTAGGATACGTGTCAAAGGACATGTAAGTAAGTAAAATAAACCTACATGGTAAAAGTATGACACAGAGGAAAGAATGCAGTGAATGCATGACACAAGATACATTAAATAAGATATGAATGAAGATAGCTGTGACAAACTACCTGACTTTGATGTACTACTTGTAACAACCCAGGCCAACCGTACCAGATATTGTCCGCTTTGTCCACACCTAGACTCACGGTTTTAAAACACGTCTGATAGAGGAGGTATTCAATCCCTTATAAGGCAACTTTCATTTCCCTCCCCAACCAATGTGGGATCTTACAATCCCCCCGTGGGAGTCCAGCGTCCTCGCTGGCACACTAGTCCGGTTCCTGGCTTTAATACCATCTGTAACATCCCAGGACAGCCGTACCAGATATTGTCCGCTTTGTCCACACATGGACTCACGGTTTTAAAACACGTCCGATAGAGAGGTATCCAGTCCCTTACAAGGCAACTTTCGTTTCCCTCCCCAACCAATGTGGGATCTTACACTACTACTTCACAAAGTTTAAGTTGAACTTCAAACATACAGACTACAAAAAAATATATGAAGCAAGATTCTTACCTCAAAAAAGGTGTCACCATATCTGCTGAAGTTAAGGTCTGAAGATTCAATGCACTTAGCAATTAGTTCCTGCAGATGGGTAAAGGTTTGATGAAGCTGATGTTGGAATTGTATAAGAACTATGATAACTATAAAAAGAGAATGACATCATATATTATATAATAGTTGCTCGAGTTAAATTAATGATACCAGATCACCAGCATTATCCAGATAAATCTGGACCACTGCATCCGCAAATGCTGCAGGGTCCAGAGGGGCTGCAATATTCCGTTTGCGGGTCTTGATCCGCTGACCACTGTAAGTACAGTTAAACATAGTCAAAGAACGATGTTTCAAGAGCTACTATGAGAATGGGAAACATAGAGTTGATAAACTTTCCATAATGAAGTGTTTGTGTGAGCAGTGACATCTGGAAGATGGCAAAGATAATAAACTTGGAAGCATGAAAATATTTATTTCTAAACATTAGGAGTAGCACAATAATTGTTTTCACTACCCTTACAGCTACAAGCAGCAATCTTAAGATAGTAGCATGACTAACAAGCAAGGAGCCACTCTCGTGCCAACTTTTCTCCATAAGGATGTCACGCACCATATGACTTACACATGGGGAAAAATCATTCAACACTAAAAAGTCTTTCAACAGAAGCATTGTCAAAAGTGCAGGACAGAAAAAATGACTGTTTACTATTTCATTCCTTTGGCTATTTAGATTATAGAGATCGCATCTTGTTCAAGAAAAAGCTGATCATTCAGAAAATTTAAATACTGACGATGATCTGTCAAACGAACATTGACCCATCCAGATTTAGTCAAAATTCAAATAATAATGAAAACTATAAAAGAAGGTCCATACGCAACAGCAATGAAAATAGGATACTGACAACAGGACAAGTGAAGAAAGTCAAGATTGCATTAAAGACACTTCAAAAAGTCATACAAACTCTTAATAAGAAACAACACAAGAAATCAATCATTGAAATCATTTTCCCAATGTCTAAATAGCACATCAAATAATGCATGACAAAACAATAGAACATGGAAATATATATCAAGACTTACCCTAGAGTGGGTTTCTCCTTCGAGCTGCAGAAATACAAAAGCAGGTGTCAAACAAGATCCAAACATATTAAAAATCGCATAAAAGGTAAACAAAAAAGTTCTCTTGGAAGCAATAAAGAACACAAAAACCTATAACCTAACTTGGTATCAAGTAGATTAAATTGCATAAATCATGAAAAATTTATGTAACCAGCCGACTTTGAAACAAAAAGATAACAAACCATTAAATCTTTAGAGATTTAAAAACTCTGCGTATATACAATCAAATATACGCAACTTTTTTAAGTTCCGTTTTCACCGAGAAACAACCAGTAAAGATTAAAAAAGGCAGATTTTCTTTCGAAAGATTTGAATCACAATACGAGAGAACAGATCTGAAAATCTAAGAAAGAGGCGAAAAGATCCAAAAGGTATTGAGTTAGTTAAACGAATGAAGAGAAAGATGGAGACATTAAGATGAAGATACCTCATAAACCAAGTCGGAGTTGAATCGAATAACAGGCGAGTCTCCGCTGCGACTCTCGGCGTTTACGATTTGCTTTGAAATCGAGAGAGGAGAGAGAAGAAGAGGAGGGTTGGGTTGGGGGAGATATTTATTTTGGTGAGGGTTCAGGTTTGTAGTGTGTGTTCTGTCTTACATACAAAGCCAACCCCAATTCCCTTTTTTTTTTTGCTTTTTTTTTTCTTTTTTTTTTATCGAAGCTGCACCGTTTATGATTTCGCTTTTTAGGTCAAACCCTTGCTTTTCATTTTTCTAGGGTGAAATTATGTCCTCTGATAATCATATACACCGGTTCGCTTTTTTTTTTAATTTTAATATAAATCATTTGATAATAATTCTTAAAATTTATTTTTTATGTATAAAATACTGTTTATTAATATATATTATTTAAAATTCATGATTATAAGTAAATTGTTCATAAGTATAATTTATTAAAAATTTGTATTTGAATTCGTGTAACTAACTGTAGATAAACATAATCAATACATAATAAACATTTTATTTTAAATATAAAAAAATATAAAATATAATTAGATAATATTGTATTTAAACAGAATAGTTAATTATTATCTTTATGAAGAATTATATTATTAAATAAAAAAATTAGACCTAAATTAAATTATAATAAAAAAATGGATTAAAGAAATTATATAAAAAAATAAGAACTTTTAAATAGTTAATTTGACATTAATATCAATAAGTTTTTTCCAAACAAATTATAATATCTTCAAATTTATATTTTATTTAAAAATAAAAATATTATCGTTTTCTCAAAACTACGTAAAATTATATTATAACATCGACATGGGGACAAAACAAAACAAAACACGTATGACGCGAGAGTCTCACGTACAGTTCCTATGAGAAGGGTGTGATATCAGGCCCAACGAGCGGTCCACGGAGCTGCATCCCTCCTCACCTGGTCCATGCACATCGCTCCCTCCAGTAGGTTGGCCGCCTATCCTAGATCTTTCCATTTCAAATAAGATCTCGGGCTCGATCCAGTTTAGTATCAAGGTGATTAAAATCGAGATATATCTCACTGCATTACGCGAGTACCTTTATAGTTATATTTAACTCCAATAAATTTTATATTTTATGCTTTCAATTTAAATTATATTATCATAACATTTTTTTAATTTTATGATCTTAATACGGTTTTCTGAAAATACTTAATATAAAATAATAATAATTCAATTTGATGAGATTGATTAAAATAATAATTTTCCTCTTCCTACATCAAGTTTTTGAAAACTATCCAAATTTGGAGTTTTTTCATGTTTTATTATTTTAGAGAACCTTATAGAAAATAAGCTTTATAAATAAAACCTCCATTTTCTCTATTTTGAAGAATCTGCACAAGATGCTCTTGGTATTTAGACTATCTTCAATAGCTTTGCTATAATTTTTTCCTATAATAGAATATAAAAAACCAAAATACAATGTTTAATTAAACATAGATGGGGATGTTTGGGATTGCTTATTTGAAATAACTTATGCTTTTCTACAAAAGCATTTATCAACTTATTATAAATCAAAAGGGTTTTAACTTCCTCACCAAACAAAAAATAAATTCATATCCAAAATTAACCATAGAACAATCGAAGAAAAAAATGGCTGAAGCAAACACATTATCAGTCCTGATCTGGCCTTAACCGATTGTATGTCCTTAACCAGAATCTATCAAAATCACTGTATTTGAAGGTGATCTGGCATCTTCACAAAAGTAGTTTCAGATGTCATCAATCACAAAGCTTACACAAGTAAATCATATAAAATAGCAGTAGTAAATTAGCATCAATTAACACTATATACTTATTTACAAATAAATATGCTCCATACAACATCACAGGCTCTAATAACCATTACATCATCTACTCACCTCCATGGTTAAAGCTACCAAAATAAACTAATTTACTTGACAGTAAAACAAACAACAGATCTAAGTAAGAACAATCACCCACCTCCTTTTGCTTTTGCAACTGTGCAACATTAGGAATAATAATAGTCTATTAGAAGTCTGACTTCAAAAGCTTCGCTCGTGGAAATATATCGATGTTTTCATAGGGATCCCTCTGTTCCACATGGATGTAATCCTTGGTCTTAAGAACCTGTAAAACGCTTATATTGTTAATGGAGGCAAAATGGTAACTTGTGGTGCAAGGCTCCTTGGCATGCCAAGGTTTTCCCTTTCAATTTTGCCGAGGGCCTGTATCTATGACTTGAACCCATGAACTATTCTGTCACAAATGACGTACAAAAAGGGGTAAAAAGAAATAACAAGTACCGAAATTGCAATAATGAGGTGTGAAAACTGAGTGTTGATGGATATCCACAATGCTATGGGAGTAGGCTAAAGTGCAAAACTTATTAACCTTACCAGTTGCTGTAAGGCATTGCCGGGATCTCTAATGTACAAAAAGTCCTCGCTTTGCATGGAAATCAAAAATGGTTTGCTATAGGTTATCATCTTCTGGTAGAGATTGGAGAAATGGAAAATGTTCTATTGTAATTTGTACATGTTTATTTCAAATCAAAAAACTGGTTTCAATTTTAATTCACAGTAGATGTGCATTTTCCAATAACTAGATTACATTACAACACCCTAAGACATACTTTTGGTAGGGTATCAAAACAAGGGCCAGTCATCACAGGAATGTACATGAAAACCAGCAGTTAGCCCGACTTCATTATATAGGGGTGGATAAATACAGATGTTCCGGAAGGTTCAACAACGGAAGATTGTTGAAGAACCCATCCAAAGCCTCCAGAAAGTACTGGTATAAAGTAATTTAAATCCTTGATAGTTATGATGAGCATACCAGTGTTTCAAAGAACATTCTTGATGCCTCCTTGCGTGTTTTCCCAGCTAACAGGTTGTTCACAGGAAGCAAATTCCTTCCTCTCGCTCCTTCTTTGTCAAACATAATTTGGAGGTATTTTGCAACAGCCCTGCCAAAAATTCTCACAAGTATAAGCAGAATAGCTTTATTAATCAGTACCCTAAAGAATAAGAATGTTAGGCGCTCATAAAAATTTGAGGGCTTCCAGAGTCGAGACCCATGGAAGAGAACTTTCTGCCGCTTGGCTGTTCCACAAGATAAGAGATGGTTTCAACTACCACATTAATAACGGCAAGTAATTGCGGAAAAGGGACTGTAGATGTTATGTGATCATACAGGGAATAAACCAGCTTCTTCCGCTCACACAAGAGCATGTTAGTGACAGACGCATTTCTAAGGTCAGAGTGGAATTTGAATAAGAAGACGAGGCGGCATGGTAGCCGACATTAATAAATACGTTGGGTTGCTGGAACAAGGCACAGAGAAACAAAAACTATGCTAGAATTTAACTGAATCGTGATTTCAACGAGTGAAGTATAAATTAATTGGACCGATGAGAATTCTATAAAGCGCCCACGGCTGTTTGAGAAATGTATGTAGTGCTAGGCTAAAACCTAGAAAAACAACAAAGTAGCTTAACAAAGATGCCAAGGGAACGGGATAATAGACAATAGGATAGATATGGATGATATATGGACAACAAAGAACAGGAGAGAAAAAGAAAACCTAATCGATCAGCTAGTTGGTCCGCCTGAAAACACTGGCAGACCCGAAAACGTGTGGCCTTCTGTAATCTATCAATGATTTCACGGAGAATTGCTGTATTGCCATGGTTATATAGTTCCAATTTTAATATGCTCGATTAATGAAGTAATGAACCATCTACATAAATGTAAGATTCTAAAATATGAGCTGTATATAGACTTTTATGCTACCACATATGCACCAATTATTGGTCATGTACTTCACTGGTTGTTAAGAGCATGTCCAACAGATTCTCTATAATTTCTTCAAAATGGATAAGCAAAAGTTAAAATCTCTAAAAAAATTACATTCAACTGGAACAGTCTCTATTTTGGAGATATAAACATCAATTATGTTATCACCCTTCAATTCCTCTACTAGAGATCATCAAAAGGACACCCCTTATATGGTATCAGACTAGCAGTTCATATAGAAATCCCAGTTTGTGGTTCAACAGATAAATCAGCTTGAGTTCATCGGATCCTAGTAATGACATGTTCTTACAACCACCTAAGGTCCATAATGTCTAACAGAAGAGAGAGAAATCAGGTGGAGAGAAGAAAATCATGTGGCATGCTTTGTGTCCATTGTTAAATATAATAAATAAAATATCAGGTAAGAAAAACAAGTTCTTTCACCAACAATACCACCTAATACATATGGCTAAAAATGTGAACAGAAAAATCATTTCTCATTACTTTTTTAATGGGTAAATTGCACCAAGCTTTCATTCCTATTTTGGGGAGCCAACTTTCAAAACTTCTCATTTAAGACCTGGTGTCCAAATCATGTTCCCCGAAGTATGAACAAAAGTAAAAGTGGTTCCACGTCAGTTCCCCAAATTGAGAAATTTTGAACGTTATTCTCCAAAATGAGAAGTTTCGAAAGCAGGTTCCCCAAAATGGAGATTTTGAAAGTACATTCCCAAAATAAGAACAAGGCAAAATAGGTTCCAATTTTGGTGCAATTTGTCCTTTTCTAATTAATAAGAAACTAAGGCAAAACAGGTTGACTGACTCCAGCAACTATGATATGCATGGAATTCCCAATAACAAACTTTTTTACAGGTTATGTTGTTAGAACAATCACATTTTCATGTATTATGAAATAGCTTCATCCATACCAAAAGAGAGAAAACTGCTTAAGCTGATCTGAGTACATAAAAGAGACATCCAGTCAGGAAAAAGAAATGGCATCTTGCAGAACAAGTATTGTGCCAGGAAAGACCAAAAACTAAACATGGACGGGAATATGCTAGCTTCCCGATTACAGTAAAGTAGAACTTTCCATACTATCAAGTATATGAGGGCAAAAGAAGAAAAAGAAATAGACCAACTTAATCCAGAAAAAGGATGTTGTCTTATTTTCGCCAAGCATCAAAAAATATTTATCATGATGGAAGAGGAAACCAAAACATGAAAATATACATACTTTGTACGGGAAGACCATCCGCTGTTGTCAATAACACGGGTTGCTTCTGTATCAGGCATGTAATCACCAGCTGTTTCAGCCTCCTCGTCGTCATCAGCATCATCAAAATTCAGAAAATCTGAAGAAGCGGTCACAACGGTAAGTAAATTGGAAGTAGAAATTGTGACAGTTACAATATGGTGACACACTTGAATAAACCATTTGCATGTTCTCATAAAAGAGAGTGGTGGTATTCACCCAGATACTCATGAACAAAATCCTATAAACCAACTTGTAACAACGAAGATTTGTGAAAATGATGAACACAAGTTACAAGTTTCAACCACATTTACTTCCAAACGCGAGACAGTAACTTCAAAACTAAATTCAGAATAGCTCCCCGGAAGGGTTTGCTACTCTACTTGAATCTAAAAGAAAATAGGCAGTGATCAATTCTTCTTTATGGAAAGAGGAAAAATAGAAGTGTATGTAATAGGCAACCCACTCAAAATTGCATTCTGTGTGAGCTATGAACAACAAAAAAGTGATAATTTAACTCCCACAAAGTTTAAGAACAAACTACAAGTAGATAATGTTGTAAGTTATGTTGTGTAAATACGTATATAGTTCAGGGGTTATTTCTGTCACTAGTCCATAGTTTTAGTCTAGATATATGTTTCCCTTTTATTTCTTCTTTAAAAACTCCAAGACTACATTTCCTCAAGGAATATACAGAGAGAGCATTCTCCATGATCTTCATCTTCGTTAATCTTCATCTTCGTTAATCTTCATCTAATTCAATCTATCTAATAAATGCAATACAGAGGCACGTGTTTATTCAATTTAATGCCAAGATTATTTACAAATAGGGTGAAATGAGCAATAGCGAAAAACATGGATGCAAACCTGTATCATTCCCAACTGCAGAATATGTAAACTCCTGCACATAGAAAGCAAATAAGAATTATCAATAAATCATTCTTTTTACAACTGTGAACAGAAGAATATTATCATGGAAGCTGTGTAAGCATCACATGACATGACTAGCTGGCCAACTGCTAGCCGCACCGCAGTCTCCAGCCCACCCCAACGAATTTTATACATACACTCAAGACTCTGAAATATGATTCAGTAAATAACTTACATTATCATCATCCCTGTTATTGACAGTGCTATCTTCTACACTCATTGCAGTCATTGGAAAAGTAACCTGATGACCTGGATTTTCTCGTTCGTCCAATGAAACATCTTCCAAGACTGGGTTCACTTCTTCATCGTACGCTGCAGCTGTTACAAATTCTTCACCATGTATACCATTGCAGACCAAGTTCTGTGTATTACACTCGGTATCTGGAGCTAAGGTGACATCCTCATTTACAAACTCTTCCTCATTCTTCCTGGTTTCCACGTCTTCGTCAAGGGTATCAATTTGAGGTCTTACGCCATCGGTCTCGGAAGAGAATGTAGCACAAGCATTTGCAACAAGCTCATGTTCTTCTGATATTTCTCTAACTGAAGCAACGTCAACCTTTATTTCAGAAGCTACACTATTTTCAATAGATTTGTTAGTACTTATATCCAAGCAAGGATCCATATCAACAGATTGTAGATCCATTTTTTCATCTGAACTAACACCCGGTGCATCGTTTTGCAGAGAAGCATCCATCTGACTGGTCTTATCAACCTCGCCCAGTGCTGCTGACATGCCACAAGTATCACTTAAGACCACATCAGCATGTGTCAATGATTCAACCTCAATAGGCATTACAGAAACTCCAAGATTAGCATCTGAAAAGCTTTTTGCATCGATCTCCATTGCAGTTCCCTGGCCCAAAAGTTCATGTTCTGAACTGAAGGGTTCTGCCACATCTCCGGTTGCATGCATCTGTGCTTGACTGTCATGATAATCTAAATTCGTTGTATTGTTGTCACATGTGCTGTCATCAGCCACCAAAGGAAACTCAATGGGTTGTGCTTCAGAAACATCTTCCCTGGCAACAGAATTGAAGTTATTGTCACCTCCATTTTCTTTAGGAACATCTGGCCCAACCGAGAGACCCATGTTTTCGGTCCTTCCTTCCAGTTGCATGCATATTTCATCATTCTGTGATATTGATTTTGGGTCTGGTCCACCTTCTAAAGACACGTCACAGTGGGATACTACAATGCGACTTAGATCAGACAACTGATTGTGCAAAGATGCCATTTTGATCGATACCCCTGTAAGAAAAACATTGTTAGTCCAGCAACCTACAGCAAGAGAATTATTATTTTCTAGATGAGGGGGAAGATATGACAAATGCAGAAAGAAAGTGCAAAACTTGCAAACTTAATAATCTGTCTTCAATCTGATAAAATATCAAAAGGAGATCATCAAAGGTTAATAATAGATCAAAAAGCAGAACAAGATTGATAAGGGGAACAACTCATAAATAATTGATTTCCTCCTAAAAATAAATTCTACAAATTTCCGTTGGAAAAATTGTGCAACTGGATCAAACTTTCTGAAGTCATGTATTCCAGATGCATACCTGCAGAACACCTAGTTTGATGAAGTAATTTAAAATAATAGGAAAGTTGGAAAAATATTGTTTCTAATGTCTTAAAAGAGTTCCAAACTATGACATAGCCCATAGACCTAAAAGGAAAAAAAATTGCACATGTGATTATTCATAATTCAATTCAAGAATAGTCACTCCAAGTGGTTTTAATCACTTGAGCAAGCCCTTTGACACAAAGTGTAATCCTAAGCCACAGAAAATAAATAAAAAACCCGATCCCACTACTTGAAACAAAATCAAATTCACTCAAGAACGGTATTCATGGGACATATAAATACCAAGTATATTAAGAACACAATTGATGCCATTAGAAACTAAGCATTCTGAATTTGTCCACAAACAACTCACCAGTAAATATGGCTTCACTAAAAAGTTCCTCTTCCCAGAATTGTTTTTCAATCATTGAAATTTCAGATCTAGTGCAAGGAGCTTTCTTTCTTAATCGCCGAATGTCTTCAGTGTTTGTCAATTGCTGGCGTATTGTGCTTTTTGAAAAGAAAAAAATTTATTAGTGATAACAGACAACAATTTTTTACAATCTAAAAACAAAGTCAAGAAGAAATAATTTGAGCACTCAACATGATTATTATGAAGGTATAGAGCATAGCATGGAACAATTAGGTAAGCATATCATGCAACAATTAGGTAGCTTAACAAGAGACCCTTTCAGTCCAATTTCAATTGTTTCCTCTCTGCCTTGATATATACATTGCAGATATACAAAGATATCAAGAGAATATGTGCTAAAATCATAAGGACTTTCTAGGAAACTCAGTTCTTCATGTGCTATACTCAGTGCTGCAGCAAACTCAGATTTAAAATTGAAAGACTCATACAGTAACCAGAAAATATTGGAACATACTCGCCATGCAGAACCATGTTATCATCCATGACCACCTTCCTTTTCAAAATGCCAGTTTTGGGTGCAGATCGCCGCCGTTTTGTAGATGGTACCTGAAGGGGAGGTGTGGACTTCATTTTTAATACTGAAGATCTTCTTCCAACTGCAGGAAATAGAAATTGCCATTAAGAACTAAACTAAAAGTTCAAAAGAAAAGGTGTTCAGAAAAAAAGAGAGGAGAAGAACCATATGCCTTTTCAAGCAACACAAAGGGAAAGCAACTTCACAAAGCTGAGCAGTCTCATACCTAATATCGAAGACAACAAATCATCATCATCCAGAACGGATTCTCTAGTTACATTTGTGGCAAATAAACCCGAAGATTCATCTAAATTTAGACTGTGAGCTGTCAGTGAGCTTTCAGTGAAACTGCGCTTTTTTCCCGCGAGCATATTGCTACCAGCATCACCTCCATCACCTGTTGCTATTTCTTTTTCAGCTGGTGTACTTTCTGGTACGAAGTCCTTGGGTAAATCCGAAAGCACTTGCGGTAAAGAGAGCAATTTCTCAGGCGCAGGGAAGTCAGAACTATAACTGTTGATGGTATCTACTTGAAACTCTCCTTCAATTACATTGTCCATCTGTTTGTTTGATATGTTAGATGCCACCTGAAATTCGTCATTAGGACCAGGTTTAGCAAGATGAACTTCCGGCAAGTTTCTTTCCGATGCTTCAGTTGCATGTGGTCCTTCCCCTGGAAAACAATCAGACATTTAATATTAAATTGAGAACACTGGAAACCTATGATTGATGTGTGACTTCAAGCAAAAGCTCATTTGACAAACCTTGCACCAAAATAGAATCTCCAGAAGCACTGGGATGCTCCTCCCTTCCAGATGTTTCAATTGAGAACAGAGAAGTCAAATCAGTTGGTTGAAGAGTATCAGCAAGTTTCTTATCACTAGTTTCAGAATGGTTCAAAGGAGTGGTACAGGGCCTAATACTTGGGAAGTCAGAACTTGGCATAGTGTAATGAGGAGATTGGACGGAAATCATGGAATCATTGGGATCCAGAAAAGTATGGTCTTGGGGACTAACAAGGTTGTCTTTACCAGAGGGTTCAGTATTTGGTTCCAATTCAGTGGTAAGGTGGCATGTATTCTCCTGATTACCTGCGGCATTAAGAGAAATTTAATGAATATCCAAAAAAACCTTCTGAAAGTTGGCAAGAGGTACTCAAAATAGATACATGACATAGTTCAACATGCCTTGAAGTTCTACACAGTTTTCATGGTTATCATTGACAGCCTGAACTCCAGGCTCGTCATCCCTAGCATTTTTATCAAGTAAATCTTCTGCTTTGATGGGATCATCAGACACAGCATTAACAGCATCATGCGCCTTTGCTATTGGAGAAGTGGACCTAGCTTGGTCAGCTAAAAGGGAGTCGGTAAAAGGTGTAGTACCAAGATCATCCATCAACATCTGTTCTGTTGACGCAATGTTTGGTAACGGTTCCCCATGTGGCTCGAAATGATTATGATGTTGCTCATGAGGGAGGCACTCAGCCTCCTTGCTAGAAGCATTTTCTAGGTTCTCCTTCACTGCATCTGTTAGGCTATGATTTTCTGGTTCGTGGTGATCATCACATGCAGAAGTTTCTTGAATGTTGGACAAATTCGGTTCTTCCCATAGTCCAGGAGTACATGGAGCCTGGGCATACTCAACCGGTTCATTATCTCCATCATACTCTCCTACTTGCTGGTAAAGAAAAGAAGCAGAAGACGATGTTAAATGTGAGGCCACAAATTTAAAATATAGAAGTAACATGAAAATAATTATAAGTTATTGTATGGACCTGATTTTCAATGCCACTAGCTGGCATTGCCTCAGGGACAGTCGGGGCATCTCGATCATCCTCATACTTAAGAGATGCATTAGCCTGGGCAGATGCCTGAGGATCAAAACTGAGATTGAAGGATGTATTTATGTTAGAACCTTGTAGCTTTTTTGATAATTGTAACTGACAATGCAGAATTCAAAATTATCCACTCTATAAAGACATCAGTCATGCAAGCTTCCCCACAGATGGAATAACTTGTGATACCAAAAAGAGATGGAACAACTTGTGGTACCAGAGAGAGAGAGAGAGAGGGAGAGCGTACTCTGTATTCGATGAACCAGTAGCATGTTCTGCAGTTGCAGCCTTCTCAACCAATAGTTCCTGCTTGCACCAATTTCAAATGGAGTGCTTTAGATAAACTCATGCAAATAACCACATGGTCATGCAGTAAAATTTTCTTTAATTTCAAGGGTGGCATTCTTATGTGCGTTTAATTAAGGGGTCATGTGGCATTATATCAATGTTTCTAGGAGGTATTTCAAGTGAAGTACGTTGAGTGTTTCCAAGTGGTTTTGGATTATGCCTCTGTGTGGGTTAACTATGAACCAAGCAGTATAATATGCTACAGTACAGTTGTTTGAGCACTGTGGTAAATAGAAAATATAACCTGAACTCCATTAAAGTCTAAAACTTGACTATTTGAATTTATCATGAAAATATAAACAAAGTGTGTTTAAATAAAAAACATTAAACATCCATGAACCAGGGTATGCATTTAAAATTTGAGACAAAACAAGGTGAGTTTCCATTTTTCATATAACTCAATCTACTAGTGAATAATAGTTTCTACCAGATTTCATGTAGGAGTCTTATATTCGACTTATCTAAACTAAGTTTTTAACTTAGAAGTCCTTGAGATGACCAGCACAAGCCTCAACGCCCGATTCCTAATGATTCCCTTGAGTGTGTAGCCTAAAGATAGTCATCAACACACCAGTCAAGATGGGGATTTGACATGTACAATACATGCCCTGTGTTCTTAAGTAATTACATTGCAAAACAAAGACAGGCCTGATCACATCAGCGTAATCACGATCACAATTTTCCAGCACCGAGCCGATATAGAGAAAAAATGCACCAAAAGGGTCAGGGAAATGACGCCAACTCTCCATTCTGAATGCAAACATTTAAAAAAGACAGAACCAAGCTTATAAAGTTCTGTCATTCCCTGACACCGGGAAACAAAAAAATTAACACATAAGATCCAAAGGTGAAGTCAAAAGAACTTGACCAGATAGTCCTTGAACTCCAACATGAAGGGTTCAACTTTCACGCGCAGGAACAACACACAAGAAATAGGAAGAACAAAGACCAAGGAGAAACATTCCCAGAACTGTCTTTTTAGTGATAAATCCAAATTCATGCTCCCTATATCTCAATTGCCAAAGCACTACTAGCTGATTCAACATATTACAATATTCTAAGTGGAATTTACTTATTTACCTCATCAAGGTCCAATCCAGATGCATCACCATCACCAAATCTCTCTATAAACAGAAAGCATTTATATGGATAAGAATCAGAAGAAAAAAAAATGCATGAAAAAATGTTTAGAAGATCTTTCATTAACATAAGCGATACCAACCATCAAGTCCAAATTTGGATGTAGAGTAAACAACACCCTCCATAGTATCTTGAAGTGTGATCTGGTCTTTTGAACTGATATGGTGATCAACATAATTACTGCAAAAAATTGATATCAGCATGCAAAAATCAGTCCAAATTGGCAAAAAGTACCTGCACCTTAACAAAAACAACATATTTTCTCCAAACTATTTTATAAAAAGTTCAGCACCTTCCTAGTTTTTAAATCCATTTCCTGATTTGCCAACAAAACTAATGCAGAAGAAAAGAAGGCCAACGGCTAAGGTGTGATATTGAAAACAGAAATGGCAATTTGAAAAGAAAGCAAAGTAAGTGTGATATTGTCTTAGCAGGATACAGAGGCTGCGTGTGCATATTAATGGCTCGAATATCTTCGAAGCAAAAAAAAAATATATTGACAAACTAACCCCTGATAAGTCTCATTGTCTGGCAGCTCAAAATCATCTAGATCAAAAGTCTCTGGCAAGGTGATTGAGTGATATGGAGCAGTAGATTCTTCAGGTGGCAAGTCGACCGCAGTGGAGCGAAAAGCTTGCTTTACTTTTAGCAAAGCCTCACTGCAATCGTCGAAAAGGTAATTTACCTTCCTCGAGTATATCCTAACCACGCCAAGCAAAAGATGGCTAGACAACCGGAGTGCAATAGGCATTTCAGGAAAAAGGATGGAGTCTGTCAAAAGAACCAGAAGAAATTAAGAAGTGAAGCAATTAAATTGTTAAACACAGAAGTCCAATCAGGCCTCATTTCCTGTTTTTCTTCAAGTGCATTTACTGCTACGCAATGTTCATTACTTGTCAAACGAGGCATATAGAAGAAATGATCAATTCCACAAGAAACCAAAATATTCAGAGTAATGATATACAATAAATATCAGTAGAAACTATTCTCCAGCCATTGCTAGCTGACTCCATGTCTCCCAACATCTTCTTGCCGTTATGTTAAAAAGAATAGCAAGTCATATAGCATCTACATCATTGAATCCTTTACACATATTCCATTCAGATTGGTTTGATGATCGATAAGTTGTGCTTTCAAAAAAGTTGATCATTCCCCAAATTCAATAATTTTAGTGGTCTAGAAGCTGGTCTAATGATACTGATATTGATTACCGTTAACAGTCCCCAATTGGCTCACAAGTCACAGTCCATCTCATTAATTATCTACAATGACTGGTTATAATGTTCTTCCCAAAAAAATTCTACACGGTTTGAGAATTTCAGTTAGTCATTCGGTGAGTGTAGATTAACTTGGCAAAGAAGCCTTGCTAGAGTAAGCCAACCATCATGAATAGCTATTTTATCCCGAAGAAGTGTGAATGTATTCCAGCACTAAAATTGGAAAAACCATTGTCAATATGGTTTCAGACAGTTCCTCCACAATAATCTAATTCAGACCTCAAAGTTCATTTCTTTGTTCAGTAACAAACTACAAATGCCATTTAACTATGTATGGGGGCTCTTGTAAAAAAAACTGCATGTATAGGTAGAAAACACAAGCTTAGGTGTGTTTGATAGATGAAAAACTAGGAGCAGACATTTGATAATCAATTGCAAGATTCTTAGATGTCTTCTATAAGACCTCAAACCATCAATTGCAAGTACAAGATCTATGGAAGGAAATCTCTCTGACAAAATCAATCTAGAGTGAGAAACTAGTTTAGAGAGAGAGCACTAAGGCATTATTCTCTCTGATTGTATTTTATTTCATGCCTCATCTAACGGTAGGTACACTTATTTATAATTTAGGGGTGTTCGCAATGCGCTTTAGAGACAGAGAGAGAGCACTAAGACGTTACTCTCTCTGATTGTATTTTATTTCATGCCTCATCTGATGGTAGGTACACTTATTTATAATTTAGGGGTGTTCACGATGCGCTTTAGAGTCAAACCTACAATCCAAACAGCATATGCCTCAAACAGCAATATGCGGTGTGGTGTGGTTGTACCTAAATGTGATGCGTGGAAAGCGGAAAGTGGCAATACAAAGTTTCATAGTCTCCATGCTCCATATCATACAAAATGTCAAATTCCATAAAATACAGTGTGGAAAGTGATAATACACAACATAATCAAGTTCAAATACAGAAGAAGTTCACAAACTTTTAAAACAAATCTAAAACAAACAGAAAACCAATCTAATTTAAGTTACCATGGAGTATTAGTAATTTAGTATTGAATATATAAATAATGTCAAAACAATAATATTGTAGTTGATAAAAAATATAATATATAGCTATACATAAATTAACTAATAAAAATAATAGGTGGTGTGGTGTGGTGCGGTTTGAACTCTTGCGATTTGTGTAGTTCAAAACTGCAAACCAAACCGTGAAAGTTCTAAACCGCGCACTATGGTATGATACGGGCGGCTTATGCGGTCTATGCAAGAAAATGAACACCCCTAAATTACACATTACATGTCTCAACTATAAAACTCCTAAACTAACGATAACCACCTCAACTAATCAGACATAGGGCACTATACCATTGTATACATCTAACTCTCTAAGTTTCACATGAAGACAAAGTGAAGAATCAAATATGTGAACCCATGACCGTGAGATCATAATTCAGGATCTAATTAATGAACATCATGAGATAGATCCTTCAAAGACTAGTTAACCATGCTTGATTTTGCTTCGTTCATGGTTAAGCTTTCATGAAGCCAAGTGGAATTATATATGGAGTTCAATACAACTTGTGTGATTACCATGCAGCTTACTCAAAATCAAAATATAGAATAGAGAGCTTCATACCAGAACATCAACAAACAAACAAAGAGAAGTGAGAAGTTACATCATTACATGTTACGTTATTAGTGGATACTTACATTTAACAATATACTATCACAAAGCATAATAAGTACAGCAAATGAATGAACTTTGGCATGTACAGTACGGATAGTGTTTTATCATTTAACCCGTGTGATCCTGCTTTCATCAGGGTGTGTGGCCTGCTTCAAACCAATATACATTTGGAAATATATATAATATTTATATACCGCAAAACTCACACACTCTCCTCACGTGTGGTGAGGCTTGAACCCTTGGCCTCCAGGGAAGTTGGGCTTTACCAGTAACCCAAGTACCGGTGGGCTAAAGACCCTTTAGTGCTTCAAACTAATATAGCAAGTATCATTGCTTCCACATTGCAAATATTTGTTATTTTAGCAACAATGACAACAATCAAAGACTTTCAAATTCTATATTACTGTGCATAACTTCTTGGAAATTGTTTGACAAGATAAGGCTTATTTTTGTACTGTAACTAAGCTGATAGCAGCCAGAAAAAATTGGTCACACAACAGCCAGTGATGTGTACTTTGATTACTATCCAACTTCAACTTCTATTTTGCGACAAATATCCACAATTTGTCTCCACATTGATATTCAAACTAGGTCATAGTAAATTAGTAGTCAGTATGTCTCGCTGCGGTTAGGTAGATAATGGCTCCACAATTTCCATGTGATGTGTGTCCCCATGTTTTATGAAGATTCAGTCCTTATCAAGCTTTTTAAACTTAAAAAAATAGTACAACAAATCCTGATTGCACCTGGAATATGAGAAACTTAAATGTCTCAATATGTCAAGACAATAAACTCCAGTTTAGATTTATTTCCCTGCCATTGAATTACCCACCTATAAATTGCACACTTCGGAGATCTAATACTGAGAGGTCGTTTACCAAACACTTACCCGGTAAGCATTTACATGTAAAATTCAACACTATCACTTACTTACAGGTAAAATTTTAGTTCACCAAAACGGCATCGTATGCAACAATTTACTCGGTAAACACTAACCGTGGTAAGAGTCATCGTCTTTACTTACCCGGTAAGACTTTTGGTCCTTGCCTCGCTCTTACGGGGTAAGATTCTTGGTCCTTACATATTCATCTGGTAATGTAATATGACTTGATAAGCGCTTACGCAGGTAAGCGTTTGGTAACCTGCCCCTAAGTAATTAAGTGACAGGTCTAGAAGTTGGAGCATCCTGTTATCACACGAATGACAAGATCCAGCTAGCAATAATATTTCAGGATAAAGGGTGTAACATCTTTGGAGCAGCAGTTCTTATATATCATATTAATAACTGAACATGGTCGAAAGGAAAACTCTCCATTTGAGAGGTCTTGTTACCATACTTATAAGTTTCAATGGATCCAGTGATACATTAGACGATCTCTTAGATGTTGCAATATTAATGGGTTGATTGTTTCCTTCCGGTGTCCTCCAAAAGATAAAAAAAATTACCAAAGTTGTTTCCTGTGTCTGAAAGAGTGTTGTATAAGGCTAAACCAATAAGAAAAACAGAACATCAAAAACTTAGAATTTGAAGCTACTTGGAACTCCCTCAGTCCCCAGCTAGATGAGCCTCTTTTGTCTAAATTACAAAAGGTAAATTTGGTTTGCTTAGGACCGGAGGTTGGCGTTTCTCCGGCAGTATAGGCCAAGAATGTGGCAGGGGATGAGTTCTGGGTTCCAAAAGGAAAATTCCTAAAAGCTAGTAAGACTTCTGTTAGCTTAAACCCCAAAGCCATAAAAAACTTTCCTGATTGAGTGCTAAACCACGAGACTTCTGCTTGTATACTATCTAACCAAAAAGAGTTCTCAATAAATAAGCTAAACTAAACAAATACATATGTAAACGAACAAAATTTGGAAGCTTCATGTAAATAACACCGAATCACCCTTGCTTCTAACAATACTTCTTCATGCAAGAGAATTCTACAATTCCAACAAAAAAAAATTGGGCAAAAACAAATGATTACCTACAGAGACGCCGATATCAGTATCTGCAACCTGATTTTTGCGAAGCTTCCGCTCCAAGTGTGCTGCGATCCATATTGTCCCTAAGGGACCCTTTTTCGCTAATATGAACTGCGAATAAAACATCCCTCCTTCAAGATTTCATAAAAACTTCCTCCCCCCTCTGACAAACCCTAGACTTCTCAACCACTAGAATAACTTAAAATTCCCCAAATATCACACACTCTTTCCCCTAAAAATACCAATTACTTTCCCCAGTTTCAATCAGGACCCAGGTCTGAAGTTGGATAATCCATATCATCATCGACTAAAAAAATCCCAATACCCAGTCACACCAAGATTGACCCAAATTGAAGACCCTCTTGGACGAATCACTGAAACCCCCAAAAATCCCTAGATTTAGCCAAAAAAAATCAGGTAATAGATCGAAAAAGATTCCGAAATCACGACATAGAGGTCGACCAGGGGAGTTGAGAGCAGATATGAGTGGGTTTGGAGTGAAATCAAAGGGTTTGTTGAGGTGAATTTGGAGTTGCAGATGGGGGAAGCGTGAAGCGCATTTACTTTTTGAAAGAGATTTGAATGAAACTTTTGGAGAGAGAAAGGTCAAAGAGTGGGTGTGTAAGGTGTCGGAAAGTCTTGTGTTTATTGGATATGGTAACTACTGGTGCTAAACCCGCGGCGCATGGGGACATGCCATGTTGTTTTTGCTCCTTCCGCTTCCGGCCATCTCAAATCATTTTTATTTATTTATGTGAAAATGTGATGTTTTTAATAACTTTTTAATAGCAAAAAATGGTTTTAAAGACATATGTCAAACGGTTTAGAACTTATCAATAGACTCATAATTTACAGTCTTGTAACTTAATTTGTTAAAGGAAGTGAATGATAGACTGTAAAAAGTTTTGGATTGGATATCTCATATGTATTAATTACAGCACTGGATGGTGGTATTGTGGTTTGCATTTCATTATGAACTGGGTCCCTCCGTCAAACAGGTGTCTAAAATTTCCTATTTAAGTGCCATCATATGTGCAGCACGTGAGGAGCATATATGTCTTTCAACCCTTCTTCTTCCTCCCTGCCTCGTTACTCCTTGATTCAAAAAGAGCTAGCATGGAGAAAACCCTGGAAAAAAAATGCACATATCTCAATGTCATCGGTAACACCCATAAAATCTCATAAATTTCATATTTTGGAAAATTCGGGAACTTCCTTAATTAGGCTTTTAAAAGTTGGACTTGGTGCTCAAAAATGTTTTTGGTTGATCTTAGTTTGTTTGGGTTTATGTGGTTCTGCTCAAAAAGGATAGGAGAGGCAATGGTTGAGGCCACGTTCAAGACTCCCTTGAGTGCATGAGAAAAGTCACTTGGTGTAGGGTAGGTGTGTGTCGTGGGGACGCGAGCGACCTAGGCGTGTGGCTTAAGCTGCACCAAACAACGCCCACGCGGCCTAGGGCCTCAAACCCAGCAACCAACCATTATTTTCACTTGGTTCCTTCTCCATTTGCTTGGCTATCTTCAATTATTCTCTCTTTCCTCATCTAGTATCAATAGACTCACTTCTCTCGTCATTAATTTTGCAGGGAATCATTTTAGGCGCGTATTGTAGGAGCATTCAATACTTTTATTGCCACTGGGCTTAAATGATCAAATAGTTGGTCAAAGTTTTATTATCTCATCTCCGATTCTAGGGTTTTGCTAAGTTTTCTAGGTTTTCTCTAAAACGTAGCAAGTGAGTTTTAGGCATTGTTTGACAAACATAAATTAGCTTATAATCTAACTTATTTTTTAAGTACATGTTTCGATGGGCACAAACTATGAAATGCTACTTGGAGTAACGTTTTAAAAGCTTATTGTCATTTTTTTTTCAATTATAACCCTTGTTAATATTAATTATTATTTATTAATATTAATTATAAATAAGCATTAATAAATATTAATTATTAATATGATTAATAAATTAATTACTACTAATATTAATAATTATTAATCATACTTGGGGTATAGAGTTAAATTTTGATAAAAGAATATTGAGAACATATTTTTTTAAAAACCAAAATAAATAATAT